ACTTCGGCAAAATCCAAGCCGAGATGACATTTGGCAAATGTTAGGCAACATCTGGTTGCCGAACAGCCTCTAACGGAGGGGTCCGTTCTCGATTCTCTTCTGTCCCTTATGCGCCAGGGCATCTACCGTTGCTGTAATTTCGTATGTTCTGTGCTTGATGTGTTGACAAGTACTAGTTCCGTAAATCAACTCCTCAAACGCGGTCAGTCACGTGCATGCGGTTGTCAACCACGCGTTCTTGGGAGCCTCAGCCGGAGGGTTTTTCGTTAACGACGACGTGAGGTCAGATGGCGAGCATGCGCCGCGCACACAGTGTGCGCAACTACGGAAAAAACACCTCTTGTATCAGCTGCAGATGATCTCGGCATTCTTCGTGAGGGAGACGAACCTACTATCGAAGATGTATTACGACGGCAAGTCCTAGACAAAGATCGCGAGAATGATAAGGTCAGTTTAATTAATCCTGTGCGATGATCTGTGCTGCACAAATGAGTTGACTTGGACTTATTCAAGCTTCAATCGACGATATTGACGCTACAACAACAACTTACTTTGAGGCCACCCATTGAAAGGATCCAAGAGCTGGAGAAGGAATACAAAAATCTGGATCTGATCCTGCAGGGAACTCAGAGAGAGAATGAAAGGTGCATGGCAGAACTAGACAGGTGCGTACATATACGTGTGCCTATTATTCGCTCCAGACGGTACGTTGTCGTAGGGTGAAGACAAGGGAGAAAATGTTGGAACAAGCTCTGGCCAAATTCGCGGGCGAGAATTGGCAGGTATACACTCTTACTAAATATCATGCATCGCATATATCTGATATGCCCTCAGAGTGTGCTCGACATAGCGCCGTCTTCATCAACATTCGCAGCTCGTGCTGTCATGGGGTCCGTCTTCTCTCGAGGGGCGCTGACACCTCAGTCAGGCACTCCTGATTCATCTGCCTCTGCGCCCGTCTCTCAAGCTGCGGTGGAGGCTACGTTATCGCAGGTAGAACAGATTCGCCTCCTCGTCCTCGGCATGGAGCAGCGCTTGCAGAACAGGGAGGAGAAGCTCGCAAAGACAATCGGGCATGCTGAAGCGCAAGAAATCAAGTGCGATGCGTTGAAGAAGGAGGTAATGGCCACAAAAGTGGCTGCATAATCTACGTTGCGTGTTTTCTTTTTCCGTAATTCCTTCATTTTTTTTCCTTCGCATGTTTGTACTATAGGACTCGGAGCATCATTCCCGCATATCCATGTGTATGTTTTACCACCCATTCTCTATATGAAATCACTAGTTTGCATAATCTTGCCTGATGATCCCTCTGAACATTTCAGAGTTATGCTGACGTGCTGATCCTTATCATTGTTAGCGTGTCACAATCTTAGAGATCCTGAAATATTTTACAGCATTTTTCGAGTGAGAGAGACCTCACTGAACATGTTGGTCTGATGACTATCTACAGCCGCTTCAAACATATATTATTTTCAAGGATAGTCAATGTCCCAAAAATGCAAGGTAGTTGTCTTCATCATATACAACAAGCGTGTATTGAAGTGAGCAAAAGTCCTTTCATTTAAAGCTCAAGAAAGAAACTCGCAACTTCATTTCATGTAATTGTTCTGTTTATTCGGAGGGGTTATCGCAGGCACCTGACATTTGAATAATCTGGCTCCGCCTCCCTGTCAAGTAAGGAAGGTGATCAGACTATTATGAGAAGCTCGCCTGCTCAGTCGAGTTGGGTGATTCCTGTGACATCAATGCAGGGGTGGGTAATTGTGTATCTTACTAGAATCGTCGCTGGTATGTAGTCACTCACTGCAACCTAAATCTGCTGAACTTTGTTACCAATCCTTCACAGGGAAATAGATTTTTTGAACACGATCCCGATCCGCATGAGGCAGCACAACACTAGTCGACCTTCTCCTACCACATTACCGAAAAATTGATTATGACCGATTAGTGAATGATTATTGAAACCAATAACTCTAAAGGTGCGTTGTGCTATTTCATTGCTTCAGCAATGTTTGTATGGCGGCATTTATCCGACAACCGGTTGGGTTCCTTCTCACTCGGCCAGCCTCAGTATCCGCCACATTGTGCACACAGGTAAGTAGATCAAATATGCTATGACTGCGCCCCTTTCATTGCACGTTGCTAAATTCAAAGCTGAAACTATTTTTCCTTGCAAAAGTCCTCCTTTTACCCTATCTACATATCTCCGAACGAATTCGGTTGCCCCAATGGCTGACCTAAAGAGATTTGATCCTGCTTTTTTTGGTCGCTGAATCTAGGAAGACCATTACGCATCACATCCTCTAACCTACTGCTATAACGCGCCAGAAGCAATTATCCCTGACCTCGGCGCTATGATATGAATTTTTAGGGTTCCTGCACTGTATTCCCGCGTTAAAACGAACCCGCAGGATCCCTTGGTTTTAATTAATGCCATTGTCAACTTCAACGCGGAACGCGGAAAGTTGTGTATCCTGTCATTATTGGAAGCCCCCCACCGCAGGGGCTGTAGGAACAAGACACTGAGACTAGCGTCCATTTGAACCCTGATGGTGCGTCCGGTTCACATGCCATTCGTTCACGGCATATTGCACTGATAGCAAAGATAGACGGCGAATATCAACTTTTTTGCTTTATTAGTCGCATGCCTCACTGGCATCCAGAGATCAAGCGACCGCAAGGAGACTGCCTTGATGCACCGCTATACCGCACTGCTCCATTTTTATGAACAACTTGACAAGGGCGACAGGATTCCACGAATTGCATGTGTGAGAGCAAAGGAGGAACGATTATAAGTTTTGGTCCGCACTCGTCCATGGAGATTTAACATAGCAGCATTCTATCTGTGCCTAGTTGCTATAGCTGGGTATGTTGCACTGCTAGTGAGGCTTAGTGAGTACCAGGCGTGGTATCGCATTGACAAGCGCCGAAGAATGAACTTGTTTCCCAGAACCGGATGATCATCGATTGAATTGATTGGGTACAACATTTGTTGTTGAGTCATAGCTCGAGTACTGCTGTCAAATGAGCCGCGACTCGGAAGACGGGTGTGATCGTTTTCTGGCAGGTTTGATAGTACAGCGCTCGAAACGATGGAAGCAAAGACACCTTGGAAGTTAAACGTTGACTGTTCAACATTCAAATATCACGTTCCATTATTACCCGAATGCCGAGCATCGCAGAAGAAGTTTCGGTTCTTCGCGCTAGTAGCTAGATTGTGGTTGAACGTTGACGGAGCACGGACGGACTTACGGGATCGTGACGTAGTCGTAGAGCGAGTATCTAAATATGACTTATCTTCGGGCAAAGTCAAAACTTATCTGCGCAACACTATGTAATTGAAATTACCTTTCGGTCGAGTGGAGCTGCATTATCTATGGGACGTGGCAAGAGAAGGTTGTTCCACAGCATTCGAATTGTCACCTTGTATAAGGCAGTATATTATTGCCAAAGCTGCTCGTCATCAGCAGTTTCCCCACCAGCTGAGAGCACACTCAACAAATAGCAGATAAACATCGTTCACGCTTTCCGATGGAGCAATCTTCCAAACCCGGAGATGAAGGTGATCCATTTGAAATTTATATGGCTTGGAAGGGCTTAGTGCGAGTAATCTGGCAGATGAGTATCATATGGTGTTAATGATATGCTGTGAAATATGATGGTGTTTCAGCTGCAATTACTACGCAGTCGGAGGCTTTGAAAAATAAAGAAGGAACGATTATCCGGTCCTGTGCCCCCGGAAGCCCACACTCGTTCGTAAACAATAGATCCTTCGTCCGGTGAGAGTTGTATCAATTTATTTAGGCTTCACTCCAACGGAGAGAATTCTGGTACTTGCCGTTAAACCTGATGGTAAGTCGGATGACATGCGGATCGCAGAGGGAGTTGAAGAACTTCATTGATCGGTGATCGGTGAATGAGCTCGTTGATCACGCCGGGGGGATTCTCTGCGACGTACGCCGTATTACGGTGCAACGTGCTAGATCATAACTATTTCGCTTAGGCGACATCCAATGGCATGATGCATCGATGAACGATAATATATCCCACCTCAAAACCATCATGCAGGGGTGCGATCTGAATCACACAGTTAGTCACTGAAGTCAAAATTGGTAGAAATTGAACCTTGGAAAAGCCTCCTCGAAGTATACGATTAGTATGTCGGGATATATTGAATACGTTAAAAGTGTGATGGGAATTCATGCTCAAGAAAATCCACGCCTAATTGAATCTGAACCAAAATTGGCAAATCCGACCTTTGAACTTTGTTACAGTTATCGCCAAGCAAAAAGTGGGGTTGAGTCAACCTGGGAATGACAAAATATACATAAGCAGATGAGACCCCAAAATCAAGTACGTAACAACATCAATCCCAAGTACTTCCCAATTTTCCCGCAATTCAGACGCACAACACCAGCTCGACGATCGCGAAGACGGCAACGAATACTCATCCACCGACGGCTCTCCGCCATGAGCGAACAAACAGTGTACCCGGCGACAAAGCTGGGTGAATACACAGTCATACAGGATATCGCCGAGGGGACGTTTGGCAAGGTCAAAAGTACATCTTTCAAATTTACTCGATCTCTGCACTGGATGGACTAATGAATGTTCTGCAGTGGCTACTCACACCATAACAGGTCAGAAAGTTGCCATGAAGTACATATCCAAGGCAGTCATCCATATGACCAAGACCAAGACTCGTGTCCAGAGGGAAGTGGAGTACATGCGAACCCTGCGGCACCCGCATATCATCAAGCTGTATGTCCTTCAAACAATTGTTGCTGTGTCATCTTATGATTTTTTTTTAGCTACGAGGTGATTTCTACCCCTACAGATATCATCATCGTTCTCGAGTACGCTGGTGGCGAACTCTTCAATTACATTGTAGCTAACGGACGGATGCCGGAGCCCCGAGCCCGGAGGTTCTTTCAGCAACTCATCTCAGGGATAGAGTACAGCCACAAGCTCAAAATCGTCCACCGAGATCTCAAGCCAGAGAACGTGCTTCTTGATGACGATCTCAACGTCAAAATAGCGGACTTTGGGCTTTCCAATGAGATCAAGGATGGTGATTTCCTCAAGACGAGCTGTGGTAGTCCTAATTATGCCGCCCCAGAAGTGATCCGAGGGGGGCTTTACACCGGCCCAGAGATCGACGTCTGGAGCTGTGGAGTAATTCTCTATGTCATGCTGTGTGGAAGGCTACCTTTCGAAGACGATGATGTCCAAACCCTGTTCACCAAAATTAGCCGTACGTCTTTCCCCTTGTACTTGTAGCCTTCTTCCTGAGAATGTATATACTGATATCTTACAGAGGGTTCTTACCATATGCCGTCTTATCTTGGTGCTGATGCCCGCGGCCTGATTAACCACATGCTCGCTATCGATCCTGTCAAACGTATAACCATCCCCGAAATAACGCAGCACGCATTTTTCAGGACTGATCTTCCCCGCTACCTAACTCCTCTCCCTCCACCCCCTGGTCCTGTGCTTGGTACGCTATCGTCCCTTGTCACCCAGGCTAAGGTACTCGACTTCGAGATTATTGACGGTCTTGGACGCATAGAGGAGGATGTAATCGACGAACTGTCAACGCGCATGGAAGGCGTGGACAAGGAAGATATCTGGGAGTGTCTGAGACGGGATGACGGTGTTCAAGGGAACGCGGTCAAGGTTGCATACATGCTCCTACGAGACAAACGCCGTGCTGGCCGTGACTGTAGGTATTTGCATTATCAGTGTAGCTAATGTTTACAGCACTGGTTGACTGATTACCTTCCAAGTGGCAGAGTTCGAGGAACAAGAACGAGATGCCCAACTCGCAGCGATGGATGTGAGTACTGATACTTATAGTTTTGCACCTGCATTGATAACCTTCCAGCCACGGAATACGCTCTCACCCAACGCTCTCTCACCCCCGGGCGATTCCGAAGACAATCCCTTTGAAGCCGAATTTAAACGCTGAATATGACAATGGCGAAGAAGACGACGACATCGACGATGGACTCGATTTTTTCCACGCCTGACGGTGAATACGGCGAACGCGACCTCAACACATTTGCTGTGCTCAACTCTTCGCTGCCCCTCCCCGACCAGCTACCGGAACAGCACCATCTTGCATCATATGCAAATGCCAAACGTGCATGGCCTGTTAAAGAGAAGAAGCAACACCGGACGAAGTGGCACTTCGGGATTCGCAGCAGAAGTCCGCCTATGGAAGTTATGCTGGAGATCTATCGAACGCTCAAGGCACTCGGAATGGAGTGGAAGGAGAAGAGGAACTTGGGGGGCTTAGGAGGTGTTAAGTCCCGGCCAAGGAGTAGCATGGACGGGGGCGCGAAGATTGAGCGCGCAAGGGAGATGGATGGCAGCGAATCGGTAGATTTGCGCGTGGCTGCAAGCGTCTACTTTGTAGAGACCCGAGCTAGAGTCCAGGACGTTGTGGTATGCACACCTTTGTTTCATGCTAAGAATTATGCTGCAGCTGACGCATTATCAGGTCCTCATGAATCTCCAGCTCTACATGGTGGACTCGATAAATTATCTCGTCGACTTCCACCACAAAAAAGACGTACAAAGCGTCCGCCGAACCCGGCGGCTGGAAAATTCGACATGGCCGATCCTGATGCATATCTTCCTGACTCGAGTTCAGATGGACGGTCCATCAAGGACAAAGACCATCTCGCACTTAAGGAAGACGAGGTGGTTTCGCCTTTTGTATTTATGGATGTTGCATGTCGGTTGATTCTCGAACTCGCTGGCGGGGAGAGTAAGAAATCCGTCCAAATTATGGCGAGGTCATAACTTGGAATTGTCAGTATATCACGCTCAGTGCTATTTGCTCATTATCGATAGATGCTGTCTTTGTTGTTCCTTTGTTTCCCCACTGTTACCCATCTAGCACGCTTGTACTATTATGTCACTTGGTTTAGCGCGATCGCGAGGCGTGCATGCAGCTGTATTCAATTGTGAGTTATGATCCGTCGACCAGCCAAAAAGTTCGGCATATTCTATCTGAGGGAGTTTAGAGCTTCAAAGTTTCAATATCTGAATCTAACCACCCAGAGTCAGAATTGCAAAACGACATCACCTCGCTGCGATATCGATGGTATCGATTTAGTCAAGTTGTCATTGTGTTATGTTCAGTTTCAGTTGGACGTTAAGACAAGGCCTCCGAGGAAAGAAAAAAATTCGGATACGGGGAATCGAACCCCGAGCTGCCGCGTGAGAGGCGGCAATGTTAACCATTACACCATATCCGATTGCTTACTGTACCGACTTCTGTTGATTTATGGTACACGTAATGACAAGGTCAGGTTATTCGAATGAGAGCCCGAGCAAAACCCGAGAGTATTGAACGTACTCAGCTTTCATCCATACTCCCGGACATGATTTGAAACTTCGTATACCATCAACGAAGACGAACTGAGTTTTGAAAGAGCAGCACTGACCCTATGATGATGCAATCTATGTGCCCCTGATCGTAGTCGACCAACTCAAGGACCAAGTTTACTTATTCTCTAGTAGACGAACTTCCTCCACAAATCGAGAAATCCCTCTGTAGTCGAACGGGCCGGGCAGACGGGGTAGACTCGTTGAGATGGCGTAGTGTTTAGAGACCCCAATAATCAATGTTACATACCTATCTTTAGCAGTATCGTGGTAGACGATCCGTCGGGGTATGGGAAACTAGATCCGACTGGTAGATCCAGGAGTATGATATATCTGTGTTCTTGTTCCAACTGTCACGGTACGGGTTGTGCCTGGTGCTATTATAATACCTTCGTCGGTGATGAGGCACGGAACATGTTCATGCAGAAGGTCGGTCTGCATGGCAGTGCAGCCAGGGCCGCCATTCAGCCACAGTACTAGGCTGAGAGGGTCTTCCGTCGGCGAAGGAAGAACCTCGAAAGCGCTGCTGGTGGGTCTGATGTATGTGCCGAGGGTGTAGTACTATGCAGAGAAACACATCAAAAGAAAGGATATGTTCCATTTGTTATGTGAAGGAAACCAGAATAGTATTTCACGGTTCCGCAACGATTCGATTCCGTCAGGCATGATTGATGATCTGCGAAAGAGGGATGGGATACGACGTTATCCGGTGGTCGGCGTCAAGCGGTAGGATGTCAACTGAATAACTGGATCAGAACATACAGAACATTTTGCTTTCCGAGTCGCCCATGGGCCATTGAAGAGCCGGCGCTGGTTTGGCTGCCACACTCGGAACTTATTGAAAGTGACAGCAGGACTCACAGGATGTACCTCTACCGTGGACGATATCAAGACCACCTGGTCAGCAGGCCCTTTGCAGGCAGCCAAAGAAGCATGTGAGGCAACGGCTGCTTTGAAAAAACAAGTCAGGTCTCGCGTCACTGGTTCGAGGTCCGACCGGTTATGGTGGTCTATTCCAGTTCGCAGTTTGTTCGGCAGTCTTTCCATTGTTCCACGGCGCGCACTGCGCAGTATACGTACCAGGCCGTCTCAAGACAGGTGACCTTATTATTCAACCTCAGCCTTCAGCGTCAGGGAACAATACCTCCGAAACATCGATGAAAGACATGTCACTGTACAAGTTGACGTTCGGATTCTCATCACAAAATCAAAAAAAAGTTTTGCTGGAGCCTGAGAAGGCCGCTCAGAGATCTGAAAGCGGAAGAGGGCCTAGGAGAGCGGGCGCCGACTTGAGGGACGACTCTCACCAACTTTTTGAGCTGATAATCAAACCATGTACTAGATAGGCTACTGTCAACACGTGCAGCACAGCTTCTTGACAATCGATCGGGCACATGGAGGTAACCGAGAAAGTCCGTCTGCTCGAGGTGCTTGGGACATACTATCGATCGAGGAAAACAGCTCCTTCCTTGCCCCCACAAGCCAGGATTGATGAAATGCAAATGAAATGTCGGTTTTTTTTTGCCTCATTTTACCACAGGCGTGTAAAACGCCAAAGCACGTGACTTCGCTGACGAATCAGCAACCCGACGCGTCTTACTTACCAGTACTATAACGCGCAGATCTGCAGCTCCCGTTCCGTTCGTCTTCGCATTACAGGATGCACCGCGCCTGTACCTGCACTTGAGGACCACTCGTAAGCACAGAAACCACTCACCGCGGCTGTTGTAGTCTGACTGTCTTTGCCCTTTGTATCCGTCGATTTGCTTTGTTATAACGTTGTTTTAAATAGTCGGATTCATGTATTACCGTTCGAGCCGAGCGCTCCGAGCGCTCGGAAAGTCGAGAGCGTTTGAAAACGAGAACAACCACTGGCAACGACGAGAACGACGCGCGTCGCAATGAAGGAAGTTCAAGGAGGAGAGAATCCGGCGGAAGGTCACTGGAACGCATCACGTGACCGTAAAACGGCGTAAAATCCTCGACATAAGTCGGTTTTTTTAAAGTATGATTAGGCTACAGCACAGCCATAACTTAACATACAGTCAAGTTCACACGCATAAGTCAAGGAGATGTAACTAAAAGAATGGGTCATTCATTACAACATAGCACGTACTACGTACAGGCGTACAATATATCACGAAGTCGTACCACAGGCCGGATACAAGGAAGCCAAGCGCATAAATGTGTGAATCGCATCGGAAAAAGCTCAGTCAATCCATTGAGGCTCCACCTTTAGTTCGCCTTGGGCCAGTATTTTCCGTCTTTGAGATTATCCGCCTCCATGCGAATCTTGACAGACCTATGGAATTTGACGCCAGCCTTGTGTTGGAGATGAACGTGCCGGCCACGCCCCATGTTGACCCTTCCATCGAAGTCAGCATGATAGAAAATGAAGCACGAGATAACGTACGTGTACTGGTCAACCAAAGAGTTATCCTCGTCACGCTGGTAGTGAAGCATTTGTGGGATGACCTCCAGACTCCACCATGCACGTGCGAGGCGGAGCTGGTCATACATCGGGCTAGTAGCATCTGCCAAGTCCTCGAGTTCCTCGCTTACGAATTTACCACCGTCACTATAGACGATCATCGTAGGATCGTTAGTAAACGACTTCAGGCGGCGGAAGCTCATGGGGCCTTTGTGGGCGATTTCGGGCGAGCCAGGAGGAGATGGGGCCTCCGGAGATTGATATACTGCAGGAGGCCGAGGCTGCCAAGCTTGTATGGAGGGTAGAGGTTTTTGTGATCCATGCCAATTTTTGCAAACATGTTCTGGTGGAAGATGATGCCGATTTGAAGCTTGAATAATTCTCGAATCATCCACCGAAGCGGTATGCGAGCTAGGCTATTGCGGGTACCGTTCTTGACAGAACCTCCGCCGACGTCTGCTTTGTGATTAGAACTGCACTTCGCCAAACTCGAGGTTCTTACCGCAATGACATCCAGCAAACCAAACCTCTTCGACGTTCGTCTCTACGATGGGCTGCGCATCAGCAGTTGCGAACCGTTGTTCCATTTCATCCTGATCTTCGTGATGGTGATGTGACTTCTTGGTTGCTTCACTGTCTGGGCTGCCTTTACCATGTTTGAGTTCCTGCAGGTCCGGGAGACGCCTCAGGATGCTGCGAGGCATGTGATGAGGTTGAACGCCCACGTTTCTTGTGCTCCTCAGTTGCGCGTATCCAAAGGCTCGGCTTGAAGCGCCTGAGCATTGCAAATTAGATAGCGAGTCATTGAAAAAGAATTTGAGACACATACACACGATGTTCGTCAAGAGAAATTGCGTGACGGAAGTACCTGATACTGTTGTTCGCCGCCGTGAAGGGCAAGCGTTTAGGAATGATTCCTACCGAACTAACGGTATCCCTATTCACAAAATGAAGTTTAGATCATGGCTCACACGAAACCAGCGCCGTGAACTTACCAGACACCAACAAATTCGATGTCCACATTAATGGAGAAAGCCTTCTTGAATGCAGTACTTTGTGCCCAGCCTTCATCGTCATCACGGCTGTACATGTGGTATGCAAAGGGAACTTGTTGGTGATTGCAGCGAGGTAGAAGCCCGACTTTGTGAATCCTGCAAGTATAATAGGTTGGAACTATGGCCGACAAGGATCCGGGAAAACATACATTCCAGCAAGCGCTCGGGCGGTGTAGGCGCCTCGTGAAAAGCCGAAGATACAAATCTTATCACCAGCATGATCTACAAAAGCCAAAATTAGTCACACCACCCGCGGAGTGCATTCTGACTTACAATTCTGCATGAGAAACTCGTATCCTCCTATTTGAAATTAGGAACCAAAGATAGGACTTATATTAATTCTGACTGACCCATCACATGGGCGTTGAGATGATTCCCAATCATCATGTCAACAGTCTTGGAAAGCTTGGCCATCATGGGCGTGGCCATCTCCGGGATAGTGTACGTCCCTATGCCGGCCTATGGCATGCCATGGGTAAGCCGAGTACAGGTCTAAAAATTGTGACATATTACCTGATAATATACCATCTGCAAAGAGGGATCATTCTTGACGAGCATGCTGAATAGCTGGACGATGTTAGAGTTCTGAATGGGCAGTCAGATCCGAAGAACCCTCTGAGGAACATGAACGGAAACACACATCCGAGCTAAACTGTTCACGAAGGCTGATCAACTATTAAGCGCTATTAGAGAAGGAAGTGCGCTCACCTGGTCACCGGTTCCATCACTCAACAGGACAGTCAGTCAATGATCAAAACGCATTATCGAAAACAACCTACAAACACAGCACCAACGTTCTGTTGGTATGTGCAGGGGGTAGAATTGGGTCAAACTGATTCGATGAACCTTGCCCGTTGGAAACTGAATAACCGTTTGCATTTTCAGAATAGTCGCTGAGCACCAGTGGAGTGGGTTGTGGCTTCTGCTGCACAATGGCTGCATATCTTGTGCCATGACTGGAGGGGAGTGATATGGTACAATCCGAAGACCTTGGCAGTTGTTTACAGCCTGGTGGCTTTTTAAGAGCCGGAAGGGCGCAGATCAAAGTGTGGGTATGAATAGCTTCCGTGGAAGATTCTACTTGTTCCACGATAACCAGCTGAGTTCTCGCCTGTCGCCCGAACCGAATAACGTTCGATTTGAATTGGGTCTTGCGAGTGTCCTCAATATTGCCGGTTCCGAGTAAGCGCGGGCGTCTAACATCGCTGTAGTTGTTGAGCCGGATAACCGCCGGGTATTCCTCAAGTCTTTGAACGGAAGTGCAAGTGCAATGATAGCTACCATCAAGATGCAGGGCTGTTAGATGTCCAACAGTTGTAATTCTCATATTTAGTTTCAGCGCTCGTATATACACACGTGCGTTACATAAAAGGTTTAGAAGATTGCTTACTAATAGGTTCCTTTATGTAATTTGGAACTTTGTCTAACTCCCAAAGAAGGAATTTCCTAAGCATTGCCTTGGGCTTATAGAGAAAGCCGACTTCCGCATTGACAATTCAATTTCAAATTCTCCGCTATGTAGATATCCGAGGAAGTAATCTAGTTTTGGTTCATATTCAGCCGATATATACGCCATTCAGTTATGCAGTTACCGTATGCATGACGTCGAACTTCGTACCATGGTACAACAATAACGCACTGCATCGCGCTTCTGGCTCAAACTTTGAATTTGCACTAGGCCCGTTTCCCTCTCGCTTCAGAAAGGTACCAGGACCCACTTGCCATACTGTCTTAGATCTCGTGACGTTCCCAACCTAATAGGTGAGTCGTGATATCATTGAAGGTGGTCCACCAGTGCTACACACCTGGACCTTCCAAGTCTTCCAAATAAGAACTAGGTCAGAAACGATGTTGTATCAAATCTGCACGGTAATTACAGAAGGCGTGATATATCCAGTACTACTAAGAGAGACTCTTCGCAATGTTCGCATCGATCGGAAATGCCGCTGCAAGGCCCACACCATGCACTAAGATAGTCATATTACCTGTCACAATAGCCGTACAGAAGCCGCGTCGAATGGGTTAGCTCAAGCGCCGCATTACTATTTCAGTGAACAGTACGAAGGGCTGCAACGAAATCTTTCACGGGATATATGTCAGGGTGCCCCACCATCCATTCAAACAGCGTCAGGCGAACACGAATGCAAGCTTCTAGCGCGGCGGGTGGGGCACTAGTTATCCTACAGAATCTTCGGCTGATCAAAATGTTGCGCAATGAATTTTGTTCCAAGTAAGCATTATCCACTCAATGTTGAACTCCCCGCGTGCATTTGGAAAAGTGTCACGCGAAACCGGGGACGAAATAGGTGCAGAGCCAAGAGCTGAACTAAAAACGAAGGATGGGCCTACAGTAGTATGCCCATTGTTAGTTATATTAGTCGAGTCCTACTCGGAGGCTTGGACTTTGGGATGTGTATAAGGCGTGCTTGAAGGGGGGATACATCGCAGATGGGCCATGGCAGTGATCGGCTTTCAACATAACGTCAGGAATAGTCGTCCTGAATCCAGGGCATTCTGTTGTGGGACTCAGCTTGCATCATGCCAGTAGCAATGCAATGCTCATGCACATCTGATAGGGACTGTCACATCTGCGCACAACAACGTAAGGAAACAAGCCATCCCAAGCCACTCATGGCGGTTCTACCTTGGAATTTCTTGGCATTCGGGCGCCCTGCGGTAAACAAGCGTGCCCAGCTTGATCATCATTATGCCCAGACAAGGTATCGCATACATGCTCAAACGTTGTAAAACCTTGGGCCTGCTCAATGTTTGATTCCGTGTGAAACAGGGCAGGAGTTTATATATATAGTCGGCAGGCGCATCAAATCGTGTTTGCACTTGAAAAAAAACGGAGGAAAGTTCCGGGTGATCATGAAGGTATGAGTAAGTACTGACGAGTCGCGGTAGTTCGGCAGCGCCGAGGGCTATGTTCAAAGTTGTGCTTAGTAATTTAAACGCAGACGCGCTCCTATTCGTGCCTTTTTTGTGTAAATACGTACTATCATCGCAATGACTAGGACAACCGAGTCAAAGAATGGCGAGCAGAAGGAAAGGAAGAAACCTGGCAGAGTACCTACGTCTTGTGCAGAGTGCAGAAGGTAAGTTTTAGATGATTTCGTTCAGTTCAGACGACATATTTGACGAAACCGTTTGTGATCCATCGCTCTCGTCCTTTGTTGGATCAGACTCAAACTTCGCTGTGATCGCAAGGTATGTGGTTATGTTCTTTATAATCCACTAGAGCCTTGCTGAATTAGTTGTTGTGTAGGTTCCATGCGAGACCTGCGTAAAACGTGGTTGTGCCGGAATATGTCCTAGTGGTTTGCTCTTTCCGTGATTTATAAGATTTTGCAAGCCTCAAACGTATTCAGGATCATTGACAGCAGGAAAGGGCAATCGGTATGTGGCCCTTCGGTTTCCTCTCTCACCGTCCTGACACATGCACAGCCTTGTTCTCGCGAACACAGAGGAGTTACACAACAAAATTGAAGTCATGTCAGTGCGCATACGTGAACTTGAGGAAACGCTTCGCCAAATGCACTCTGAAGCATCTGATCTACCGCACCCGCTGCTGTCAGACACCATTACAGCCATTTCAAATGACAGTCCGGAATCCAGCTCAAGCAGCGACTTTCCAGAACGACGGCCCCAATCTTCGAACAAGGCTGATGCTGATTCTGTCATAGATGCATTTGGTGACGTTCATTGAAGTTTGTTGTTGATGCACGTAGCTAAGTTTGGTTCTAGGCACGCTCACCATTGGCACTCGTGGAGAAACTATTTTTATGGGCGGCACTGCCCGTTCAGAAGTAGGTCCTATATTCAGAAGTTATGAATATCTGCTGAACATCCTGGCAGTATCTCATTCAGGTGCGGTTCGTTGTGACCGCTTTGCAACATTTGTGTGACGCTTTCTTTTAGCCGCCTCTGAAACAACAACCAAAGCCTCCTTTTTCTGAAACATTTCCCCGACTTTCGAAACAGATCCTCGATGCTTGGTTGCCTGGTTCTGACAGTGTCCCGTTTGATAATGGCCTTTGGAAACCTGTTTATTCATATCTGCCTCCATTATCGGAGGCGGTCCGCCTTAGCGAGATTTACCTTGAATGGGGTAAAGTCTTGTACGTTCATGTACTCGTGACAGAAAGATGTCTAACAACTTCCAGGTGGACTCCCCTGACACGATCGGAGCTTTTCGATAATATACTTGGAAGTGTTTATCGTGCAAAGTATGCTTCTTCTGCTTCTTTGTTGTCGTGCTCCTGAGCAGGTTTTCCCAACAGTTGTTACGAGGGAATACCTGGACCTCATGATCTCTCGCTCCTGTTCAGCATATTCGCTCTTGCTACCCTCTTTGATTTTGAAAAGCCATCATATGCCGTGGAGGCACAGGAGTATCATATTCTGTCACACGTGGCGATGCACTTTACTTCCCCCTGCATGGAAACGAGTGTCCATACTCTCATTGCACTGGTCTGTTTCTACTCTACGCGAGAAATTAGTGTGAAGATGCTGAAAATTCACATTAGCTGCATATTGTGCAGTACCTGGAAATGAGTGACCTAGAGATGGATTCAAGCAGGTCATACTTGTTCATCGGATTAGCTGTAAAACTTGGCTATAGGGTTCGTTCATCCACCTCACATATCACAAGTCTCTTATCCATTTCCCTAGATCGGCGTCCGTGCGTCTTCTGTGCTACCCGTTCGGTTTATCTGGGACTGATGGCATTCTCAAGATCTTTCCAGTGCCAGGTGGAAGCTCAGCGATGCTGTTGCTCAAAAACGTAGTTCCGTCTTTTGGCAAATGTTCATGTTGGACACCTGGATTGTGCGCCACCAAAATAGGGTTGTGACTTCTCGCTCATGTTGTGTATTTTAGAGCTTCTACGCCGGCCGCCCACCGAACGTCTCTCCCGATTGGATCGACACTCCGTACCCAAATGATGATTTTGCGGTAGTTAACGATAAAGGGGAAAAAGAGATGAGTGGTATGTATTCCTCATTATTGTACTCCACCATCCTCACATCTCCTTAGGGCACATGTGGTCGTGGCAATTTTCGCGGCTCCTGCACCACGTCATGGTCACTGCATTTGGAGCTAAAACACCCACCTACAGCACCATTCTCGAACTCGATCGAAAGATTCGCGATTTCCCTGTCCCACCTCATCTACAGCCCCGCTGTGATGGAAACGGAACTCTCCCAAATGCCGCTATCCTCACGCAAGTCCAGATGTCCATTCTACTTACAAATAAAGAAACTAGTGGGCGCACATTACATCTATATTGATCAGTTCATGAAACTTATTTGCGACGTGTTTAGCGTTGTTAAATATCCATCGACGATACTTTACACAAGCTTTGGAGGACCAGCCCAGTGACCTCCTGAAGCATAAGTATGGCCCCTCGGTCATGGCGATGTATCGCTCTGCGTGGCGAGTGATAGAAGGTCACTCGCATGCAGTTAGGAGGATTCCCCAAGCGATTGAGCGGTTGGGTCTTTTCTGGTCACACGCTTTGTCCGCCGCTGTGAGTAGCCCTGTTCAACTCGATACTTGAAGTGCGTGACGATGTATATCATAGATCGTCATGTGCATGATCGTCAACCGTGCTCCTCAATCAAACATAGCGTCTTCTTCATTGCGCGAGCTGGATGTTGTCTACGATGTGTTTCAAAAGTCAGCGCCAACCTCAAAACCTGCCGCTGTGCTCCTCGTAAGCATCCTCTCCATGCATTCCATGCAGACCTCTCATTATGTGTCCAGGACTCAATAACAAAAATCTGGAAAAAAGGCCACGACGCTGTCGATCGCCCTCTTTATGACGATCAGTCCAGCTTATCCCGCGCCGAGCTCGATCGCCTTGGCGGCGGCAAAACCCATCTGATATCCAAGACGAGCCCTCGATCCAGCGCCTCGCCACCGTCTGCCCATTCCTCACCATCAGAAGCCGAATCAAGCGGCTCGTCCCAGCCGAGCAGACAATTCACATGGGATGGACAGGGCGTCGGGTTCGATATACACCCGCGCATCATGCAAGACATGCGCGTCTTTGACAAGTTTGAGCCATCACCATTCACTGCGGGCGGCTCTTTTGACTCGTCTGAGTCTTTCTTCCAGGCGATGAGTGACGTGCAGTTTAGCGGGTCGAGTGTGTATGGGGCGGAGATTTATAGTGGACAGCCGCAGGTGCTGAATACGTTTCATCCGGCGCACCCGTATGGCGTGTCGAATGGGATACAGGAGGCGCCGGTGCTGGATGCGGCGTGGCAGAGCTTTGTGGAGCAGCTGGGATTTTGAGGGCTTTGTGACTCGATAATTTATTACGATAACCTCTACTCTATCCGTTTACTGACTTCAATGATCTCCCCAGTATACTAGTACAAGGACTCCCCTTCGGTCGACTCCATGTCAATACATTGTGTTTACAGTAGCAAGACTCTCCTTCGGTCGGTTGTATACAACAATATACAGTAGCAACTCAGGAAATACAATGTCTTGTCCTTCGTTCGCCTCTGCGAATAGACACAACGTGTCTCTTTGCGTTCTGACCCTCAATAGTGACGTGTACAACTGACCGTGAGCAAAGGAATCCGTTCGAAGGTCGAGCATGGTTCGTGCCAGCGTCAAGCCTTGACAACCATTAGATGTAGTTGCATACGCGAGTCGCAAAGGAAACTGTCTTCGATCCACCGTCCGCGACGAACGGTTTGGATGAATCGCAAATTTAATGCGGGGAATGCAGTGGCTTTCGAAAGTATTGATGAGTTGGACTTCAATAAATCAACGATGCAGAGCAACTATCCGCACGCGCGCGTTTCTGACCAAGGCTTTTTCCACCGAAAGGCTTCGTTGAATGGCGCAAATGCAGTTCTGTTAGAGATCCAGGCGATGAGCAGATACTCCGGGATGGGTCAACATTGCAAGGTAGTCAGGTATGTGTTCTGGTACACACAATGGTGCGTGATCGGCCTCTATGATGGGACCGATAGTTGTCCGCGCATCCAATAGATAGATTCCGTCTTCCGCAGCAGCAGTGTTAGCGCCAAATGTGACTACATTTACACGAATATCTTCAATTTCTGGAGTGGCAATGAATCCGTTTTGAAGACCAACAACGCCGTGGAAAGAAGCAAAAGTCGCCATAGTACTGAGCGCTCAGCAAAGAGCGGCAAAAAAAGGAGACGCTGAGCATGAGCGCGCCACAACACAGCATTACGCAGAAAACGGAAAGAGCCGTGAAGAAGAGACAGAACGCAACAACACAGCATGACGTGGTAGACGCCATCTCGTGCTTATATATGTTAGATGTCGATATTTGTGTAGGGTTTTAGGTATTACTTCGTGGGGCCATGTATATCTTTCGGATTTACCAACAAATCCGCGATTCTGCAAGTTGGCTGAGGCTAGCGAGGTGTGAAAATCAGACTCTGGGGCTATTTTACGTTAATTCTATGTAGACTCTAAGGTAGACTAGTGACCAGCCCACCAGTCTAACTCTAAGGGCGCATTGTGAATATACTGTGTGAATTCGAAATTTACCGTACACTATTCACGGCGTTCCTGGTGAGATCTCCGAGTCCGACAGACTCGTGGCACAATCATGCATCACAATTCACTCTACTGGTCCAACACTCGTTGTGCCTTCGGCACAGGAAGCATCTGTTTGGCTGTGCGCTGGTAGTGTGGGCACACAGCAGCCTCTGCAAGTACTTTATGGCGAGCACCTACTGCCAGTCCTTCAACTGCATTCCACAACCATCCACCGAGCTTTCCATAGCAAAATAGATTGAACCATCCGTCCGTTCATCCGATCTTCATCACGCTTCGCACTCTCCATTAATCAACAGCTGGATCGTTCTGCAACCTAAGTCTTGTCACAACTTACAAGCTTTGATTCAAATCTTCGTACGTTGTCCCTCCAGATAACTATCGTTTCTAACCAGACCCTTGAACCTAGGTAGTACTTTCAGTTAGTTCATTGCATCTCGCATATTACAACCTTCGTGAATGAGTGACGACCAGTGTCAGTACTTCCATCTCCTATCTCTCGCAAGCTTTCTGACCTCTTTGACAGTTCTTGAAGGAATTTGGGTGAAGCTGTCCGAGGTCGCTGTCAAGGGTGCTCAATATAACTCCAGTGAGCGTTATCCCCACCCGAAATGTTTGCAAGGGACTCGGGTGGATCTCCTCAAATACATCCACGGATTCCTGGACGACACAGAGAAGAATCAGCTCGTTTGGCTGCATGGCACGGCTGGCGTCGGAAAGTCTGCCGTTGCGTTTACAGTAGCTGACAAGATGAGAGATCTAAAAGTAATTGAAGACACGAATGTTGAAAAGCGGCTAGCGGGAACATTCTTTTTTTCGCGCAAGCACACGAAACGCTGCAGGACTGGATATTTCTTTGCGAACGCTTGTCTATCAGCTTACCACCAATTTTCCAAGCATCCGGAAGGATGTGAGCAGAATTATTCGTGACAATCCCGCTCTACTAGATCCAAATACGCCTCTCTGCGACCAGATGGAGGCTTTCTTTCTTCGACCTCTGCGGAAACTTCAATCCAGATTGTTCGGGTGTCCGCCTTTGTCGTTTGTCATTGATGCCCTTGATGAATGCATATCGGAACCCGAACTCACTGATCTCGTCCTTTCCCTTTCACGGGCTCTTCGCGAGCCTGGTCTACCCGTGACCCACATTCTGCTCACAAGTCGCTCGGAATCGTACATTAGCGAAGTCTTTCAGAACGACGAGGTGCGTCAATTGGTGCGCGAGATACCCGTGAGAACTTCTGGGGAAGGCATCATTTCGTTGGACGGCGCAGACGTTGACAACGATATCTGTACTTTCTTGCGGCATTCTTTCGAACAGCTGGGAAGACGCCATCCCGATTTCCCTCAGCCATCGGGGGTTGACCTTGCGAAGCTGGCGAGCCGAGCGGGCAGACGTTTCATCGTGGCGTCTACGATGATGAAGTTCATTATCGACGATGAAGACAGTGATCCCCATGATCGGTTACAATTGATGCTTGAGCTGACGAGCAAGCTGCTACCAGGAACGGAGGTGTACAAGTTATACGATTGTATCCTCTCCACGTGTGCCGACCCCAAGCGGGCATACCTGCACTTGTCCATTATCGCCGCCCTCGCAGACCCTCTTCCCATCTCGCAAGTCTCGTCACTTCTTGGTCCTGGTCTGGGCAGAGATGTGCAGACAACGCTGATACAGCTACGGTCTGTCATAGATATTCCTACCGACGCCAGTCTCCCTGTGAATATCTATCACTCATCCGTTCGCGACTACGTTTCCGACCCCTCAAACTGCAACCTCCCTCAAGTACGTGAACGTGATATGCCATCACCTCACTCACTACTCGCTGATTCTTCTCTTCGCTTAATGATGAAAGAGATTCCAGAAAGCACGGCCCTGTTGGATGCTCTCTTAGAATTGAAGAAGGAGAGCCAAGCCGTGCAACCTGAGGACCCTAAAAACTTGAGAGGCTCATTAGCATTCCTCGTTCAGCCACCTGAGCCACTATCAGTCCTTATCGGTATACTATGGCTTCGGGGAGATCGCACGTCAGATTTCCAATTTTGGCTGGGGACCAAGGATGGGAGTGCCTGGCTTGGGACCGAGGATGGGAGTGCCTGGCTTGGGACCGAGGACGGGGATGCCTGGCTGGGAACAATAGACGGGAGGTCCTGGCTGAGGACCGAGGACGGGAGGTCCTGGCTGGGGACGGGAGATCCTGGCTGAGGACCGAGGACGGGAGGTCCTGGCTGGGGACTAAGGACAGGAATGCCTGGCTGGGGACTAAGGATGGGAGTGCCTGGCTTGGGACCGAGGATGGGAGTGCCTGGCTGGGAACCAAGGACGGGAATGCCTGGCTGGGGACCAAGGACGGGAGGTCCTGGCTGAGGACCGAGGACGAGAGGTCCTGGCTGGGGACTCATGCAGGGGAAGACGGGTTGTCCACCCAGGAAGGAGAAAAGTGGCAGAAGACCCAGGGAGGACGAGACTGGCTACAGAGCGAGACTAGATTAGATTGTAAGGACAGCTTGCCAGAATTGAGTGAGTCAGACCCATCATACTTTTCAGGCTCTTCATGCTCTTCATACTTGTCAGAGATCCGGGAAGTGCCAGATGACCTACCGCAAACCCAGGAGGGGCACAACGGGCTACGGGCTCGGAGAGGACGAGACTGGCTGCAGACCCAGGGAGTAGGATACTGGCTGTGGACCCGGGGAGGACGCGCCTGGCTGCAGACCCAGGGAGTGGGATACTGGCTGTGGACCCGGGGAGGATGCGCCTGGCTGCAGACCCAGGGAGGATACGACTGGCTGCAGACCCAGGGAGGATACGACTGGCAGGGAGGACGCGACTGGCTGCAGACCCAGGGAGGATACGACTGGCTGCAGATCCAGGGAGGATACGATTGGCTGCAGACCCAGGGAGGATGGACTGGCTGCAGACCCAGGGAGGATACGACTGGCTGCAGACCCAGGGAGGGTACGACTGGCTGCAGACCCAGGGAAGATGCGACTGGCAGGGAGGACGCGACTGGCTGCAGACCCAGGGAGGATACGACTGGCTGCAGACCCGGGGAGGATGCGACTGGCTGCAGACCCAGGGAGGACGCGACTGGCTGCAGACCTGGGGAGGATGCGACTGGCTGCAGACCTGGGGAGGATGCGACTGGCTGCAGACCCAGGGAGCACATGACTGGCTGCAGACCCAGGGAGCACATGACTGGCTGCAGACCCAGGGAGGATACGACTGGCTGCAGACCCAGGGAGGATGCGACTGGCTGCAGACCTGGGGAGGATGCGACTGGCAGGGAGGACGCGACTGGCTGCAGACCCAGGGAGCACATGACTGGCTGCAGACCCAGGGAGGATACGACTGGCTGCAGACCCAGGGAGCACACGGCTGGCTGCAGACCCAGGCAGCAGACGATTGGCTACAAACCCAGGGAGGACGACACTGGTTGCAGACACCCCATGGCCAAGCGTGGAAATCCACTCCCGCGGCGTCTTTCTGGGTGACTATGGAAGAATTCTCGAGTACGTTGGAAGCAATCAGCAATTATATCGTCATTCCAGAAGTGCCTTTACCGCTAGCCTTCCAAGTTATCCAGCAGTTTAAAACCTTGCCCGATTTCTTGCTGTTGCCGGCGTTGATGGCGCTAAGCTACCAGCATCATTCTGCTTCTGCATTATCAATATATCGTCTACCACACAGAGACATCATCCATGCTATGAACGCCTTCACGACTTTCACACACAAAGCGCAGCGAAAAAGTCGCTTATCTTCCGCCGCTCTCAAGTATGCCTGTCAAAACTGGACTATCCATCTTTTGTATGCTCCAAATCCACGGGATGACACGCTCAACCGTACATTCCATGCTTTCTGGCATTGTCACCTCCTTTCCTGGCTCGAACGGCAGTGGTATTTGAAGGGTCTACGGTCTTGTCTTGATATTTTATCCGAAGGGCAGAAACTTGCAAACCTTGTTCCAGGTTCGGTCTTTTCTTCCATTCATGAAACCCCTTGTAATTCTCTCTCATTCTCAGTTTTAACCCGTCAACGTGCAACCCAGTGAAGGGCGGCAACGTAAGCTTCGGTACTTGTGTCCATCAACCAAGAGTTCTCACCAGCCAGCTTCTTGAGTAGTGACACCAGCTGGGGTTTTGAGGGGTCTGCGACTCGGTAACTTATTACGATAACCTCTGCTCTATCCATTTACTGACTTCAATCATCTCTCCACTATACTAGTATGTAGAATTTATGTAGTGTTTTAATGTTCCTACTACTTTCAGGTAGTACTTCGTGGGGTTATGTATATTACTATCTTCCAGATTTACCAACAAATCCGCAGATTCTGCAAGTTGGACCTAAGGCGGAGTGCGTGCTCGCGTTGTAGCAACTTTGCCAGATAAGGAAGTTGACATCGCAAGGCAAATTTAACTCTTGTGACTCGTGAGAGGTTCCGATTATGGTCCACCCGGGGGTGCAGGCCAGCGCTCCGAAGAACTCCTTCCCTACTACCGGCGCGTCGCGTTCGCACTGAGGGGGGGTGAGCTAACAATCTATACCTGTATCCTATCATCTACGATGGGTCATTCAGCAAGCCAACGAGAAGGGTCCGACTCAAGCTCTACATGCGAAAATTTTGCAAGTCTGCTTTTGCAAATTATGTTCTCTGGAATCCAGCTGAATTCTCTCGTTTGATGCACATCAAGATGGAGTCCAATACTGAGTCTTCGCACAGCGAAAGAAGATCGCAAAGCTTATAGCAATGTTATACCATCAGTAAAACCCTCCCGTGTTAACTACTATTAGACTTTAGTTACCACCAGTTCGTGCACACCACATCTCGTGCAGTCACACAAATGTAACGGAAAGTCACGGTATCGTCACACTGGCCGGTTTCAAAGTCCGTTCAGCGCTAGACATTAAGGAAGATATACTGTATATACGAAGTGTACTGCTATGTATTTTCGAGCCACGTCGCAAAGAGTTCTGAATCTATCTAACCCGTCGGAGACGTTGCAATGCTGTGTTTATATGAATCAGTAGAGTTGACAACTGGAATTCGATCCAGAACTAACCCTCCGATGCCTTCAGTATGTCGGTATTCAGTATTAATGGGGCCATCAGCCAAAACAAATGATGGAGGAATGGAATCGCCAGCTGCTGAAACACATTCAATTATTGTGACCAGCTCTAAATTATCACTGTGAATACAATAGCGTTCTCGATTGTTTTTCGAGAAGATAAATTTTGAATTGTCTCCCTTTCGGCCACCTCCCATCTGACACCCCTTCTCATCAACATTCCAGTTGTGTTCTGGTAGAATTCCTTCCAACTCATCGTCCAAGGCCTTGCGCATATCAAAATACTCCGTGATTGTTGCCTTGTTGAAATTTTGTGCGCGTTTTGGATCCAGGCCTCGGGGTTTCGCAACAAGGATATCCGCATGACGGGAAAGGAAGCGGCGGACCCAATTCTTGCCTGGGTAAGCTTTCACCATCTCGAATATTTGAGCACGGAGTTTGCGGGGATGGAGAGGGGTGGCTGAATCTGAGTTATGGTGGCACCAGTCCACCAGTACCTTTTCTTGGGATTCATTGAGCAATGATTTCCGAGTGCCACGATTGCCTGAAGCACGATCTCGTACAGTCTGTGGGGGCACCTAAAGGAAAATTGAGTTAGCATTCGAATTACTGAGGGAGTGCTTACCTTGTGAGCTATAGCAGCACTTCGGAAACTGCTATAAACACCAGTCAAGGTATCGTGGATGGCAGCTTGAATGCGAACCTCTTTGGTAGGATCTCTGGGACCTTCCCGCATCCCACCAACTCGAGTGCGCGCCATACTACCCACCCATGTACGCGTTCAGATGTGTCGCGACGCGTTGCCACACGTATCTCTTTTGTTTCTTGTTGGATTGCATCCGTTAAAGCTCGTAGGGTGTTTTTATGATTTATGATTGCATATGCATGTATGAGTTTGAATATTTGTAGTAGAAAAGCGTTGTTTTAAACGATGCACGAGATGTGGGGATGCACGAACTAGTGGTAACTAATAGTAGTGTTACTTTGACCTAAGCTTTCCTGTCGTGAGATACGGGCCTCAGGATGTTTGTTATGTTACTTCCAGCATGTAATGCATTATGTAATGACTTTGTGAGAGCCATCTAAATGTTTTTTCACAGTTCCGTACACATGAGTTTCAAAATAATGACGTACTAGTAGTTAGTATATATACAACATATGGATGACTAGTACCCACACCGTCGTAAAGTACTTACTTACAACTTCCCTGGCAGGCATCGGAGTCATTTTCAAGTTCGCCATGGCTCTCATCCCGCTGGATACTGCTTTCCTTGTTTCATCAGTGCTGGTAGGCATTTTATACGGTGGGTATCGCAATGAGTTTGCCCGTCCCATACCCACTAAAGTAGCATTCTTCAGGCTTTTCGGTCTTTATGTTCGTAGGTACCATCTGGACATTCACCTACAAACATCGCACACGGGACGTCAATCGCCCAATGGCTGCGGTTGCCACCCTGTTATTCTTACTAAGTACCGCGGTTAGTTTCTTGCTTCTTTCATCCGATTCCATCTGCTGAAGTCTCACAAGGACATGGTCCTAGTTATCATTCAAGTAGAAGATGGACTGGTGAAATATCGCGATGCGTACCCAGGCGGGCCAGAAACATTCTTCGCAAACTTTCGACAAGAAACGTTTATAGCCAAGAATGTGATATACACATTGCAAACTCTTCTTGGCGACGGGGTGGTGGTAGGTTCATTTTTCATCTGCCAATGTGAAACCCTTGTGGCTTATAGAACTCGCCTTTCTGGCAAAAGATTTATCGATGTTATGCCCTTTGGCAATCTGTCTGGGTTATCATCCTACCATGCATACTGTGGTGCGGTATCGCAGGTTAGTTTACAATATCAGGAAGTTGTGCGCTTTGACATTGTCTCGAAGCCTTTGGTATTTGTTGGGTCTATGCACCGAGGAGTATCCCCCCAGGCCCACTCGATCAGACTGTCTTCGCTAGCGACTTTGGGATTTGGATCACAGCATTCCTTACCTTTACGCTCGCAACTTATTTGTTCAGTTCAGGTAAGCAAACCCCTGCATATGTGCTATGTTGAGGCCCCACACCGATCTAAATGTTTCCAGGATTAGTGGTATATCACATTTGGACGGTCGAACGCAAGGTTTCTGCAGTTTATGTTGCGAAACCCAAAATGCCTATATTGCGGGTGCTTATCGATGCCGCTAGCTTGTACTCTGCGGCGCTCTGCCCCTTCATCATAATATACTATGCCTACTCGTCTGCTGTGTTCTATGTTATGGGAGACATGGTATTTACGCTGCTAATAACTTGCCTATTATCGAAAATACTGATACTCTATCAACTAGCTTATTCCGATCATCTCAATTGTCTTCTACACGGTGTTTATTCGCATCGCAATCAATAAACACACCCAGGATGGAGAGACCAGTGAGACAGGACGAATAACCACGTTACAATTTTGTATACAATCTTTGCAGAGTAGATCCGAGCAGAATGATTTGTCCTCCTGGCCAACAGCCCAGAAATAGCGACATATACACCGCTATTATTATCTAGCCTGGTATGAATCCCATCTGTGCTGCAATCCTCCCATTTATTTACGGCTTTCAAACCGTGGTTACCTCACTGAGCTCAGGAAGCGCGGACACGATGATTTACTTGACCTTGCAGTGCGGTCATGAATGTCTGATACGAGTAATTCACATGATTATCACGTCTACGCGTTGCTGATGTACCGTGAGGGTGGATGGGGCACAGCAGCTTCACGGCGCAGAATTAGGGAATACTCTGCTGCGAAAGTAATGAAAGAGGTCCCGTAAAGGAGTTGTCGAGCATGCTGTGAAAAGGTAGCAGCAAGTGGGTACGATGGAATGAGAGTGGATTGGAGCTCAAGCCGAGCATAGAACCTGCGACTCGGAGTAGTGATGGAAGGACGAAGAAGCGTTTTCCGTGTCATTGTGTAGATCTCATTCTTATGCTTCAAACTTGCGCAGAATATCGAAGAATCATACCAATTATATTATAAGTATCCTCAAGCTCTGCGACTTCTGATCGCTGCAATGACTGGTCGTCGGACAATATTCCATTCTCCAATATCTTCACCATGCATCAGGACTTCAGGATCGATATCATGTTGCGAGGCTGATGCATTCAAGGCTATAGAGTTGACGGAGGAGACAGAGAAGAGGAAAAAAAAGAGAGTTCCCATGAACATAGATGCGTACACCACAAGACGATATATGCGTCGAGATGACTGGATACAAGGGACTGAAAAAAGACGGAACTCACCCAAATCTACGCGCCCAGGCAAAAGTAACTGAGCAAAATTGCGAAGGATGAGACGCACGGAGGATTGCGAAGTCGGGCAAGAGGACTCAGACAACTACCATCTTTTTATTTGGTGACCTAGTGGAAACTAGTGACCGGGAAACGGACATCATATATCACCTAAAAAGGATTTGGAATCATCCGGCCTGTGTACCAACGACTGCATAGGATGTTGCTGGAAATTTCTCCGTTCTGTTTCAGTGACACTCCTACAGACAGTCGAGAGGTAATGTTGTCTGTTTTGATTGGTCGCAATGCGAATAAATACCATGTAGAAGGCAATCGAGACAATCGGGACGGTCTAGTTGATCGACAATCAGTGATTTGAGATGACAAATTTCAACAGCGGAATTACCAGGTCTCCCGTCACATATATTCCATCGTTCCAGAGGGAAAAACAAATTATTGAGGAGCCAAGCGCCGCAGAGTACAAAACGGCAGCATCTATAAGTATGCGCAATATAGGTACTTTGCGCTTTGTAGTGCGGATTGCGGAGACTTTGCGTTCGTTCATCCAGACGCGATACGCCAGTAATCCTGGAATATTCGTCCACACGGACACCGTTGGACGAATGTGTACTATTAATATTGGGATGCCGGGTGACCAGGCGAGTCGCACTGTAGAGCCAGGCAGACCCACGGGAGACCAGGCTAGCGCTGAGAGACTCGGAGAGACCCAGGGAGTATGACGGTCATCTCGTCAAATTGCAACTGTGTATTTTTGAAGGGCCAGTCTACACTAAGGGAGGCTTCGACGACGCAGATGATAAAGCGCGATGGCAAGTCATCTTTTCTCGACACCTAATTATTTAAATAATTATGTAATAAATTCAAGCTTCTCGGCTGCAATGCATTTGACAAAGTTCAATCTTTTACCTTCAAGTTTGAATGATGTTTCGAGCTGTTCAGACAGTACATAGATTCGATGACAACGGCGAGATCTCTGCCGGCTATTAATATCAAACACTATACTCGGGGGCCGTTTCTTTCATACCTTCTCCAAGTTGAGTCTAGTCACTTCGATGAAGAGTCGTTACCCTACTACTTGGCAAGTACCATATATCAAGCACGAAGCTACTCCACCAATTGTTTCGTTGGATCTGAGCACGTATAGGTGGTAACACTTCAAGTCAAAGCTGTACGTTCAGATAACAGCTTTAGTGATTCCACCAAAGGACTAGAAGCGCTGAATATAAATAGTACCCGCCTCCATCTGACGAATGCTGAATTAGGATCTTCCCGGCAGATGATCATCACGCCAGTTTAAGTTCTGCTAGAATTATGATATACACGAGACTGGACACGGGACTGGCGAATTTGCCAGCCCCTCGTACATCGCCAAGGTATCATCTTTGCCATGACTTCTGGCATCCCGCTGGAGAGCGCTGCGATAATGTCATTAGTGCTGGAAAGCATGTTATACGGTGAGTATTTCAATGATTTCTTCTGTCCCGCACCCATCAAGATATCACTGTTCAGGCTTTTCTGTTCTAATGTTTATTGGCACCATCTGGGCACTGACCTACAAACGCCACATACGGGACGTCAATCGCCCAAACACTACTGTCGCCGTCCTGCTGTTCGCACTGAGCACTGCGGTTAGCTTCTTACCTTGTAGATCTCATGTCACACGCTGAGGTCCTCCAAGCACATGGTCATAGATATCATTCGGACTGAAGAAGGACTGATACAATACAGCGGGTCAGAGGTGTCCTTCGCAGAGAACTCCCAAAATATCTTTGTGATCAACAACACAATAGTCGTTTTGCAAGCTCTACTTGGCGATGGGGTGGTGGTGGGTTCAATTGTATATTCAACATTTTGAAATTGATGTTGAAGGGATTTTGGATAAAGATTTATCGTTGTTACGTCGTTTGGCAAACCGTCTGGGTTATCATCCTACCAAGCATGCTGTGGTGCAGTGTCACAGGTTAGGTTTCAAATACACGCAGCAAGTCGCATGCTCTGATGTCGTCTCGAAGTGACCGGCATGTACTCAATCTACAGCGTTTCGAACACAACTAGCACTGTCGGAAACGTCTTCAGCAAGGTGACTCAACAATGGATCTCGGCATTTTCTGGTTTGACGATTGCGACTAATTTGTTGGGTTCAGGTAAGCGTGCTTCTACCTGTACCTGGTGTCATGTCCTCATACCAACCTAACTTTGTTCAGGATTACTGGCGTACCGCATCTGGAAAATTGAACGCAATGTTACTAACAGTCACACTACGAAGACCACCACAACGAGTATACTACGCGTGGTCATGGATGCTGCTATTTTATACTCCATAGCGCTCCTCTGCACATTAATCCTCATGGTCTGCTCGAACAATGGATCGCTTGTTATGATAGACATGGTGATTCCACCGATAACATATATCATTGAAAAGTACTGACCTTCGATCAACTAGCTCACACCGATCATCTCCATTACTTTCTACATGGTGATTATTCGAATCGCAATGGGTAGAAAAAATCACAGTCATATTTTGACTGTCGGCGGAAGGTCGACCAGCGAGACGGATCGAGGAGATCATCCTCTGAAGCCTTTGCAGGTACATATATCTCAATTTACGCACATTGACGACACCTCGGTGTACAGAAATGGGAGTCAGGACAGACCATCGACAGGCAAGGAGGCGTTTGTGGAAGGGGCATCTTGCACCGTGTAGTCGGATGAACAATAATGACTTCATATGAACATTGTATTTTTGATAGTACCAGACGATATCTTGAATAACTCACAATTTGTATCTATGCCGTGTCAGCAATCAATCATTTGCTTCGTTTGATGTGGAGAACAGAACTTGAGTCTCTACAAACTCAACTTACTGTCGGAAATAAAAGTAATTGAAATAAGATTAGATGCGATAGGAATGCAGATGCCATTAGTAGCTAGTATAGTGCGCAGGCGTTGCTCTATAGTTACTGCCCGTAAAATCGGTCTATAAGCAGAAACACAGCTAGCTACTTCTTTGCTCTCTGGTATTGGTCCTGATCTACCTTGCTGTGGATGGCTGTCGTGATTTAGCATTTGATGAAGGGGCGGAAGGAACATAGTCCCTATCGCGTGTCGAGTCGTGTATGCCATCGTGGAATAGTTCAAATAAGCATGTGGGACAAGAAATGCAAATTATCTATGCGGTGCTGTCAGTTTTCGTACATCAATGGGGCTGTTGACCAGTAGTATTTGATTTGTACACATAAAAGGAAATGCACGAAACTATTTGGCTAAAACCTGCAGCCAGCCTTCTGACACGGAGCTCTAGCATGGTTTCGAATCCGTGCAGAAAAGTCCAGGATGAACCATGAAGCTTTGAAGGCGGGCGTGCCATTGCGGCTTCACGCTACGCAGCCCAGTAGAGTGTAATCAAAGATGTTAACAAGCAGTAAAAGGGAGTGTTGAAATAAGACGCGTGCTGTGAAAAGGGAACAGTAAGCAGGCACGACAAAAATGGGAGCTCGAGTCGATCAGTAAAAATTGCGAATCACGGGATGATGGCAGTACGAATGAGACACAAGAAGTTGTGTCAGTGCGTTCTACATTCGTTCTTGTGCTGCGAACTTGCTTGGAATATGACACAAGCATCATACACCGAGGCTGTAAGTTTCCTCAAGCTCTGTGACTTCTGATTGCTGCAATGACTTGTCAGACAACATTTCATCAGTTCTCCAAGATATGCATCATGCATCGGGAACCTGTCAATGGCAGTGATTCAGGATCAATGTCATGTTTCAGACTGACATATCCAGGGCTATGATTGATGGAGGGGACGGAGAACAGGAGAAAAGAGAATTTCGTGTCCATGAACATAGCCTACTAGTACATGCGCACGCCACAAGACATTTACGTCGAGATGGATATAAGCGACCAATACCGTGTGACAAACACGGAACACACCCAAATACACGTACAGACAAAAGTGCCCAAGTAGAATTGCGGGGGACGACTCGACGCGCGGAACATGAGGCGAGGACGGGTGAAAGAACTCGGACGACTGCTATCCTTGCAAGGACATATACTGCGCGTCTTACCACCTTTTCTTTTGACGCCCTTCCTTGAGACTGCATTGCACAGCATGTTTCTATTCTTTTCCGGCTCGTCGACGAAATTCCTGTATTGAAGCGCCAGCCAGCCTTTTGTACTTGGTAGCAACACACGCCATCACTTCAAGTTGTCAGCATTACCGTAGAGCATATACTCAGTTTTGGCACGTCTTGGCTCACCTCATTCCATCGGGTGCATGGTTGTAGATAACAAATTCTTGTCTCAGCTTGTCGGTGTGTCGAATGATGTTTTCATCACTCACGGCTAGCAGATGTCTCTGAATTTTGCTTGACCCCATTCAGGCCATCAAAACATGTCTGCCCACCGTCCAGACCTCAGTGCTCCACATGTCCGCAAGCACATGTCACTCGATTACTACCATCACGGCTAATACCAGCCGATATCGGGCATTCCTCCCTCAAGTCTGTCTAGAATCAGCGGATAAACGCGACATCACGAATAGTGGGTTTGACTTATTGTCGTTGTTTCAGAGCTTGGCTCATGTTTTCATGATCAAAGTTGTCGTTTTCGCCTTGCCACCCCTTTCGAAGTTTGTCCCAGCAGCGTTGTCTCGTCAGGAACGAGGACTCTCCACTTCGATATGCTATGCATGGTTTATCAGTTGACATATCTGTTCGCGCGGGGCAAATATTACCCTCTAAGCTCTTTGACCTGCGATTTTGCATAACCAATAATCATGGTACAAGGGCCGAGCTGCCGGCCGTATTGTTCAGTTTCCCACTGCTGAACCTCTTTTTCCTCTCGGCAGATCTCAGCATTCATCAGCTCCTCTCTGACGTCCAGTCCAAATGGATGACACCTCGACAAGCCTATGGCGCCACCCACAATTCTTCTATGACTCCCGATACCAGTTTCTGGTGGATAATCAATCCTCCCTGCATTCTGAATAAACCGCAAAGGTGACATCGAATTTCCAGTTCGATCTCCAAATCAGCACTGCGCCAAATGAGAAGTACCTGTTGTCTTCTCGTAGACTCGTACCCAGAAGGATAATGGTGAATTCTGTAGGCTCGCCATAGAAGTTTTATCTCTCAATCGCCGATTGGTACGTCTGTGGACTAGATACATACTATGATACATGAATCTTGCTAGCTTATGAATGCATGACCCCCGAGCTGGTCTGTTCATGACCTTGTCGGATTTCACACGTGAGAATGAGTCGGTCGGCGCGTCCGACCTTCCGTCCCTGCCAGTGTATGTGCGAGGTTGTAGCCACTGAATCACTCACACTTCAAACGAAAGACTGCGGCTGCCATGAAAACTTTGAAAATAATCATCTTGGCACTGACGTTGATGATATCTCAAACCAGGAACACAAAAGCGCCTCCTGCTCAATATCTGCACGAATTTTGAAGGGCGCAACCACGTCTCTGAGGAATTAGGTTTCGGTTCGTGCTCTCATGAATCAGTGGCAACATTTCAATTTCACTCAGTCTGCTTTTCAGCGCATTATTCAATCGGACGACTATAAATTCAGGCTCGTTGCTAGGTATAAATTTGACAAGCAATCAAAAAATCAAATGGTACACTCGATATTGCAGCAAAGAGATTATGGTTACGTGGAGCTAGCAGGATTGATGTCAGCAACTGCGTGGATGGATGTTAAAGACTGAGAACTCACGCATCTCGGCAACTCGACCAGCATGCATGTGGCTCAAATCAAGCTCAGGACATCCTCTGGGTATCACTAATGAAGTGCAAGGAGTATAAAATACCCGTCGGGAAGCGGGAGGTACCCAGAAAAGGAGCCGATGATTGGGTCCCATTATCCATCCATCAGCCTGCAGCAAGAAAGGGGTTGAATTGGAATCATGATGAGAGCTACTCTCGAGTAGCTCAGCGGGGTTGCACGGCGAGTGTTCCAGGCTAGATGAGAAGGAAATGAAGTGATGGTTCCGGGTATTGGGCAACATGGTAGTATGCTCCTGTATGCGAGGGGTAGTGCAACTTGCATCCAGGGAGAATGAGGATGGATTTGCTTCGGTATACTTCTGACATGCCTGTCCAAATGCTGCATCCCACAGCCGCATTGTTTTATCCTCCGAACCAGACACAATGCGAGTGCCATCCAATGAGAACGAGACTGACCAAACCCCATCAGTGTGCCCCTGCAAGGGCTCACCCAATAGCTGTCTCCTCGATGCATCCCACAGCCGCACAGTCTTATCCCAAGAACCAGACGCAATGCGAGTACCATCAGGTGAGACCAGATTTGATGCACATGGAAGAAATCTGATCATCTTCCGTTCTTGTCCAAGCTTAAGTGCTTTAGTGGTAGGGATATCATGATTCCGAGTCCTAGAGCCTAGAGGTGAGTCGATACTCTTCAATCAAATAAGTTCCTCCTTGCTCAGTCATCAATCCGTCATGGTTCCATGGTTGCGTAGCACACACCATCACTTCAAGTTAGCTTTCAAGTCTGTCAAGTTGTGAGCATACCCAACCTCGACGTGTCCTGGCCCACCCCATTCCATCGGGCACATGGTGATGGACAACAGAATCGATGTATTTGCTCTGCACCGTGCTGGGTCGAGCTGGAAGCCATGTCGGTTGTATTCGCAAGACACTGCACTAGCAGTTTAACAAGTATGTCAGTTGGTTATTGGGATGTGGATATGGACTCGGATATGTTCGAGTGAATGGACATTGAGTGAGATTCGAGTCGAACTCGTTCGAGAGACGATGTGCTCTCCCTGAAAGGTAAGCTAATTGCAATAACGTCAGTTTGTCAGTGCAGAATACTCAAATGTGGTGTTCGAGTTACCCTAAAAATGCCAGCAAAGATGAGTCATGAAGAGCGATCACAATTCATCTGAGCATGGGCGTGTCCTGCTGCCTTTTCTTTTGACGCCCTTTCTCAAGACTGCGTTGCACAGCATGCCCGCATCCCTCTTAGCCTTGGGCTCGTCGAAGAGATTCCTGTATTGAAGCGCCGGTCAGCCTTTTGTACTTGTAGTGAGCTACAAAAAGTACTGACGCCGATAAGTCGGCGCTGAGCACTTCGATGTTCAAGAGGAAGTATCCGAGTCGTTTGCACTCTGAGTGATCACCATCCACAAACTAAGCCATCAGCAAACAAAATACCTTACATGCTGTAAAAATACACTATGCATACAAGTAGATTCTAATTAGTAAGGTGTCCTGCAATGGAGTCGTCATAGTGCGGTTCGAAAAGTCGATCTAAAAGCAGAAACACAACCGGCTGCTTCCATGCACTCCAGTATTGGTCTGCCCAGCTGTGGTCGGCTGTCGCGAATCCGGATTAGGCGAAGGAGGAGGAGAAACATGATCTTCATAAGGGATCCATTCATCGTCTTTGCGTGGAGCGTCTGCTGCAGCGTTCCGCTGTAAATTGATGTATGAGTACTGGAAAGTGAGAAAAACGGGCTGCACGTACCTCTTTACCCTGCGCAAGTGGAACGTCTACCATAGCTGGTGATGCATGGTCTGTCTGAAGGGGCCACCAGGATGACAGGCGGTGTAGGCAGGATTTGAAGAGTGTGGAAGCAGAGACAGAGGATTGAGTGGTTGGTGGCCGAAACTAAAAAATGTCAGTCGAATATGTGATGGTGGCAGTCCCCACTCACATTCTCGTGCGGATTTACATATGGACAAGGCAAGGGCGCTGTAGCAGGGAACTGTAAGGGGACCGTCGAGTCAACTGTGAGGAAAACATGTAGGAGAAACATACGTCCAGGTGATTACGAGGCTCATTGATGCGAATGGGACGAAATGTGTCCGTCCGAGAAGAAGAAATGAGTTTGCGTAGGAAACTGAGGAAAACGGGTTGTGGGGGGTCAATTGTAACTGTTAGCGGGCGGGAGGCAGGAGATATGACCGGTATTGCTGGTTTACGGCGCATAGCATGACGTGTTGCGTCAGACTGTGATAAAGAATGGAGTGGTGTGGATGAGTAAAAGAGCGGGACCACGTACCTTGAGTAGCTTAGTGAGGCGTGAAGATTCAGGTCCACTTGTCTGCAAGAGATTTCAGCGCCCGAGCGATGTCGATGAATGAGTGAATACATACCTCTTTTGTAAGATCGATGCTTGCGAGGATGTTGATTGGAATGTCGCATATGTGGATCTTGGGTTCGTGAAACGTCGTGTAAGCCAGATGGTGTGAGTCGCCGGGTGAGAGTGCAAGGGAGTAGGGAACTTGGACGTCGAACGAAGGCGAGGAGCTGGCGGGACTCAAAGGACCAGAGCTTGATGGTATTGTCGAAGGAAGCACTGGCGAGAAGAACACTGTCAAATGAGAGTGCTAGACCACAGATGACGCTGGTGTGCCCTTTGAAGGGATCTCCGACAGTCTCGAGCGTCGACGCGTCAAACTCATAGATTGACATGGACCTGGGGTGAAATGTGGCTACAATTGATTTGTCTTTTGTTGTCCAAAATATCGGCGGAGCTACCCCCGAAATTTCAGCAGTAGTGTTTTCTGTAGTGACATCCAATTTCTGTGCTGGGACATTCCACACCTGGAGGCACTTCCCCAAATTTGACATCACCGCCAGTTTTCTAGAGTCTTCCGAGATTCGAAGTGCGCCCACAAAATTACCACTTGATTTGAATGGACCAGCCACGAGTTTGCCTGTGTCCAAGCTCCATATCCGCGCTGTCCCATCGTATGACCCACCCGCTAGCAGTGTGCTGTCCGTGGAGATATCAATGCAGCTGATCCAATGTTCATCCTGAAATATTCTCACGATCCCTGTCTCAACCTCATAGACTTTGAGCACCCGACCAACTGCAGTGACAACCCATCGACCATCCCTTGATACACCCATTGCACTTATACCTTCCTCGCAAACCTCCCGAGCCTCCTCAATCTCTTTACCCTCTTTCAGGTCCCATCGCCGAATAGTTTTATCGTGTGATCCGCTGACCATTTGCTTGCTGTCAGGACAATAGGAGATGCATAAGACGTCTTTGAACTCGTGACGATCACCATTGGAAAAGGTAGAAATATGTGGTTCATGTCCTTCCAAGGTCATCACTGGTGTAAGAATCAATTTGTTTGCTGCCACACAGGGCCGTTTCGAGCTAGAAGCCATGATAGTTTGTATCCGTCACACGTTGGCAAGTATGACGATTATCTGGATATGTTCGGTGAGTCGTCCTCGTATGCTCCAGGACTGACGTATCCAAGTCTCGAGAGCCACTGCACTTACCTTGGTTAGGCCAGATTATCGTCAGTTCATTAACGCAGGATCCTCAGGTAGGGTATTCACGTTACCAGAATGCTAGCGAGGACGAGGGATGATACCCTGATTGATAGGCGCGCTTAATATCGTAACCTCCGTTATATCACCCATTCTTCATGGCTGTGTGTTGTACAGCATGTTCTTTTTTTATCCTTCCTATCAAACCCTCTACAGCAATATGTAAGAGTATAACTAGATGATGTCATTGAATTTGATAGCGCGGTAGAAATCTAATCGTTGTATCTTGCTGCCATCTTCAGACTGAGAAACGCAATCACCTCAATTTGTGTATTCCTCGTTAATCGCAGGTTGAGCACGTCGCAAGAGTATACGTAGATCATGGGCTCATCATACCAACCACAGATGATATTGTTCTCCCCAAGTTCTCCCAGCTCAATTTACTGCAATATAGCCTACGGTCTGTAAAAACATATTCACAAGCAAATTTTATATCAAACATGTATGCAATTGACCTGCATACAACCTGTATCAAAAGAACAAAGCATCAGATCAAGAACCCGCATCAACACTACAGGGCGCTTTACCATCACCATTGAATTGAAAATCATCATCCATCTCACTGTCCTCCGAGTCCATGTCCTCTATCTCAAAATCATCCGCGTCCTCGTTCACTACGAGATTCCCTCTGTCAATCTCGCCTCCTTCATCCTCTTCTTCCTCTTCGTGCGTTTTGGCCAATGGGGGAGGACCGCTTTCCTCGGGGTTAATGGGAGAAGGCGGATCAGGAGCTGCGTTTTCTACCATCTCATCATCATTCATAACTAAATTCAATAGGTTCAAGCCCAGGAAGATAATAACTCTGGAAGCCGGCACAGCTTGAACAGGCGCCTGAACCTGATTCGCATGCTGGGGTTGAGGTTGAGGCGACGGCACAATCTGGATAGGCACCTGAAGATGCCCATGCTGAGGCAGAGGCAGGATCACAATCATGCACCGGGCAGGCCGAGAGGGCCTGTTTTGCTCTGAAGACGGGTACAAGTTGAAACGGATATGCGGCTGTGGATCTGAACTCGGATATGTTCGAGTGAGATTCAAGTCCAACTCGTCACTCGTTCGAGAGACGAAGTGCTCTGCTTGCGAGGTAAGTCAATTGCAATGACATCTGTTCCGTCAGTGCAGAATGCTCAAAGTGGCCCGGGAGTGTTCGAGTTACCCTGAGAATGCGAAGTGCGATCACGATTCACCTCAGCATGGGCGCATCTTCTTTTGGCGCCCTTCCTCAAGACTGCATTGCACAGTATGTCGACGTCCCTTTCCAATTCGTCAGAGAAAATCCTATATTGAAATGCCATCCAGCTTTTTGTACTTGTAGTAAGCTGGTCAAAAAGTACTGACGCCGATAGGTTAGCGCTGAACACTTCGAAGTTCAAGAGGAAGTACCCGAGTCATTTGCGCTCTAGAGAGTGATCACTGTCCGCGAACTAAGCCATCAGCATACCTTACATCCTGTAAAAATACACTATACATACACGCAGATTCTAAGTAGCAAGATGTCTGCAATGGACTCGTCATAGTGCGGTTCGAAAAGTCGATCTAAAAGCAGAAACACAACCGGCTGCTTCCATGTACTCCGGTATTGGTCTGCCCTGCAGTGGTCGGCTGTCGCGAATCCGGATTAGGCGAAGGAGGAGGAGAAACATAATCTTCATAAGGGATCCATTCATCGTCTCTGCGTGGAGCATCCGCTGCAGCATTCCGCTATAAATTGATGTATGAGTACCAGAAAGTGAGAAAAATGCGCTGCACACACCTCTTTACCCTGCGCAAGTGGAACGTCGGTGATAGCTGGCGATGTATGGTTTGTCTGAAGGGACCACCAGGTTGACAGACGGTGTAAGCGGGATTTGAAGGATGTAGAAGCAAGGGCAGAGGATTGGATGGTCGGTGGCCGAAACTAAAAGAGTGTCAGTCGGATATGTGAAGATGGCAGTCCCAACTCACATTCTCGCGCGGAATACATATAGACGAGGCAAGGGCGCTATAGCAGGGAACTACAAGGGGATCGTCGAGTCAACTGTGAAGAAACCGCATAAAAGAAACATACGTCCAGGGGATTACGAGGCTCATTGGTGCGAATTGGATGAACTGTGTCCGTACGAAAAGGGAGGATTTTGCGTAGAAAGCCGAGGAAAACGGGTTGTGGGCGGTCAATTGTGACTGTTAGCGGGCAGGGAGCGGGAGGTATAACTGATATTGGTGGTTTACGGCGTACGGCACGACGTGTTGCGTCAGACTGTGATAGAGAATGGAGTGGCATAATGAGTAAAAGAGCGGGACCACGTACGTTGAGCAGCTTAGCGAGGTGTGAAGATTCAGGTCCACTTGTCTGCAAAAGATCTCAGCACCCGAATGATGTTGATGAATGGGTGAATACATACCTCTTTCGCAAGCTTGATGCTAGCGAGGATGTTGACTGGAATGTCGCATATGTAGATCTTAGGCTCATCCATTGTCGTGTAAGCCAGTTGGCATGAGTGGGGTGAAAGTGTAAAGGACCTGAGAGCTTGGACCTCGAACGAGGCGAGGAGCTGGCGGGACTCAAAGGACCAGAGCTTGATGGTATCGTCGAAGGAAGCACTGGCGAGAAGAACATAATCAGATGAGAGTGCTAGACTCCGGACAATACTGGTGTGCCCTTTGAAGGAATCTCCGACAATCTCGAGCGTCGACGCGTCAAATTCATAGATTGACATGGGCCCCGTGATGCCAGAGTCATCCATGAAGGTGGGTGCGGCCACGATGGATTTGTCTTTCGTTGTCCAAAATAACGGTAACATATTTGGCCTACATCTACAACTTTACCCGCTCATTGGGCTGCTCATTGAGCGCTCAGTTTGGGATAGTCCAGGGATTGATTACGGACTTCAGTTTTTTTGGAAAATATGGACTAGCCGAGCCACGTAACGATCCGAAGAGCCAATTCACCGTCCGGCAAGATGAAGATACCAGATTATCAAGTGCATCAGGTTATCAAGAGCCAGATTACTGATCAGATCCACGGATAAGATTGAATTTTGTGACACGAAATAATACAGTACGGTTAGACAAATCTGCGTGAAGTGTGTGGTACCACTCTTTATCAGAGAATGCATTGAGATAAAAGTTATCGTAGCGTTCAAGAGATGTCGTTGACGAAACAGAGCGGTCCATCGTTTCCCCATAGATGGGTATCAATTCTACTGCATGTGTAACATCAACAAGCCGTACAATCTTCCCGATCCTTGTGCGACTCGGAGAACCATCACGCGCACGGTAAAATGAACGTCGAACACGGTACATGCCAATGTGTGGCTCAGCTTCAGGGGGCGCAGCTATCTCGAATAGCTCAACATACAGAAGAGGCTCCTTGAGCTCTGTTGGTAGCTGCGACCCTCGCGGCGACAACATAAACACCATTCGAACTTGAACAATGCATGGTGCTAAAGCTCCATCAGTAAGTGAGATTGACCACAACTTGGGAACTTACTGGACTGCGGTGTTAGCACTTGTAGGTTGGAGGAGAACCATATCGCAGTTTCCAAAGGGTGCGTCTCAGACGGCGGATACGCCTGAACTTGCTGGCTTGGCATAATGTTGCATGGACGAAGTCGGGAATGAAGTTTGAAGCCTAAATTTGTACCATGTTTTGAGGAGGCGGACGTGAAAGAGTGAGTTCCGACCTGATACACCATCGAGATACTGTGAAAGGACATTTGGAAATTGTGAGAGATGATAGAGTTGAGCAAGTGCAGTGGGCGAACGATCAGCAAGATCATGAGCGATGGTAACATGAAAGGCAGCGTTAGCCTCGTCAGAAAGGAGGCCTTTGAGAAAGTGATTGTGAACGGGGCGAATCGCCTGAAAACGATGCATATCTTGTGGTGCAACGCGCGCTATCCAGTTAAAGGTTGGATCTAAGTCAACGACCTCATCAAACTCGTTGTCCATGACGTTGATGAGAGATATCCGTCGTTCACGCAGGAGGGCATACACGTCAAATTGTCTCATCACCTCCTCGCGATTGATGATATTGACAATCTGCTGCGTGAATGTGCCTCGTTGGTGACTTGTCCGCTGGAAAGGTGTCTTGCAATGTGTGATCAGTAGCCGTTCGCTGACATCCGCAGAAAATTGTATGATGGCACCTGATTGTCGGATCGAACGAGCGAATGAATTGAAAGACTCGAGTTTGGGGATCTGAAAATGACTGATAGGGCCAGAAGTGCCTGTGCGAGCCTCCGCCTCTAAAATGAAGTGTTTGTAGGCATGAAATTCATTCAGGGATGATACCATGCTGTCGAGGGAAGAGCTTGTGAAAGTGGGAGCTTGTGATTTGTATATGAAATCAATGAGTGCGCGGATTGCCACGAGTGAACCCAGGAGATGTCACACCCACAATGGTGGGGACAAGCGTTCGCTGGATATCATGATGCTCGCGTCCGGTCATCTGGTTCACATGGGAGACACCATTAGTGAAATGGCGTGTACCCACACGTTTATGCTGGCTGCGGAACCTAGCATCAAGCTCGCTAGCGCCTATCACCTCCTTGCACCACTTCAGAGGGTGATCGAAGAAAAATTTATGGCATTGCATGCAGTATCTCTGGGACAAGGAAATTGAAGGGTCTGCACGCCCCCAGTTGCGCCAATATGGCTGGTGGACGCCACTGAGAGAATACTGCTTCGCCGACTCCTGAAACTCCCGGACCTTCCAGGGATCGGTTATCTTGCAAAGCTCGTGTAGCTTTTGTAAGGTGTCTGAGCCATGGCGCGGGGGGGGTATGTGGTGCCGTCGCCGAACTGCGCCTGTGTGGCTGAAGTGGTTGGCGAGACATTTTTTGAGACACATGCGATCATGATTTGCTCGGGAAGATCAGCGATATGGGCAGCAAGTGGTGTGAATGCATAACGGCGGCAACCCATGGGGTCTACCATGAACTCGCCCACCTCGGCAGCGACCTTCAGCTTCTCTAAGACCAGATCCATGCATTTATGCCAGACGCGCACTTCCAATAATCCACAGATTCACTATTCACTATGTATTCTGGGACTGGAATGTACGCGATGCACGCCCATGCGTGTGAGGTGGCCTTCATGCGAACTTCGGAGTGGATGTTGCCGAGCGTAAGAAATGTGGGGTGCATCTCCAGCGAGCCTGTCTGTCGAGTTACTGGTGTCTTGTCAGAAGCAAGAATGATGGCACGATAGTCGCCCCGATAGGTAAATCATTCTAGAAACCATTTTGCTTGTCAAATGACATTGATGCAATGATGAAAGGCGCTTACCTGAATTTCGGACGCCTGTTCACAAGACATCCATTCTCCATATTCGCGCTCACCATTGTCTTTGATTTCATAAGGGTCGTATTCCATATGGTTGGCGAAGATTGGATTGCCGAAAATGTGGTGCACGACCTCCAGGCATCACGCCAGATGAGATCCACAGGGTGGGTAGTTGTATATCCATCAGTATGGATGGGCGTACACTTCCATCTCGGGGCCACCGGTAATGCATCCATGAAAGTGAAGAGTTGGTTTTGGCATTCTTAAAGGACAGCGGCTGCCTCGCCTCTGAAACCACCTGGAAGGATATCATTAGCGCAGTTCATGTAACTAGTTCAAACATACCCAGAGAAGCTTCAAAAATCGAGTGATCTGCCCCTGATTCAAGTTGTCGCATAGAAACTTTGCAAGTTCCCACTCTGCTCTATCTGTAAATGGGTAATATGCGTTATGTTCCCGCATCGCCTCAAAATCATCATGTTTCATTCGTTCAAAAGTGTTCGATTCGCCAAGATTATGAATGTAACCTGACTTGGAATGGACACCGCCCTTGTCGCGGCTGCCCCTCTGATGTTTTGGGGGATGCGAAATGCGACTGGGGGGGGGGATCAGACGCCGATAACATCCTGGATAGAGGTACTGGGGCTCAGCCTGTTTATTGTATAGAGAAAAATCTTCGCACCTGGATCATCAGAAAGATGAGCACAAATTTCTTCTGCGGTATCAAGGACATTAGAAACAGATGGGGCATTTGACTGATTTGTTGAGACTGGGTACTTGTCAATCTGATTGAACACAGAATACAGTGTAGTCAGAACTTACTCGATGCCACTGAATTGATTACCGTCGAAGATGTTAGGACCAGGAGGATCATTTAGGTTCATAGTGCCTGTACTGTGCAGTGTGCACGCCTTCAAACCTTCAATCAAAAGTTTCTAAGTCTTTCAGACTCCGATGCGAGTTGCCACTCATACTATCGCACACAAACCACCAGCGACTGCAACGCTAGGACTCAGTAATCCATGAGAGGACACCCCAAAGCACTTTCAAACCGTTCTTCTAGCCCTGCAAGCTCTCAGACTTGCATCGAATTGTCATCCTCCTTTCATAAGGACAAAGCGGACATCACATCTGAACACATCATGGGATCTCTTTAGCTCCCCCAAAAGATACTCTAATATTCCCATCATCCCCTCACGAATTCACCTTTCCAAAATCCCCTTCTCATTCTAATTTCCGAGAGGGAAACAATAGATCCCCGCTATCATCCCCACCCAAACCAAGGTTTCACCCATACATGAAATCCAGGGGACCCTCAGCTGCCACAGCTCAGTTTGCAATGGATTCCTTGCAAGGTCTGACTGCGCACGAACTGAACCCGGGCGCTGCACTGATGGTAAGCAATATTATTCTTAAATATTTTCAAGCATTTCATACACAAGATCCACAGGCTAAGGATGATTTTCACACGTGGTCTCGCAGACCTGCCAGATGACATGCTACGTGAAGGTGCAATGGCGCAATATGCCACTTGCGAAGTAGCTAGACAGGAGCTCGTTACGGCGAGTGGAAAGTTGAAGCAAGCACCCGCTGGTCAAAATTCCTTGCCAGCGCCTCACAGCACTTAAAGATGCAACATGATTACTCCAAGACAGATCTGGAGATTTGGGAACAAGCATGCACTAATCGTGGGCTGAAAGATCTCTACCACGACCAAAGCCTTTTTCGAGCATTCAACTTCTGAAAAGACCTTGACTTTAGCGGTCCTGCAAGAACAAGGTCGTTCAAATAAAGGAGCATATCGAGGAACGAGGGGCAGATGGTGATTATTTGGATGGTAGCTATTCAGGCGGCAGTGACAATGAAGCAAGCGAGTCTGATAACGCCCCTTTTTGCAATGACCATGCTACTTTGGAGGCTTGAATGTAGTAAGCATGCATAATTCGTGTACATCATTTTCCTCATTTTCCAGAAGCTGTTCGATTAATATGGATCCCTTACAGCGTGTTGTTTGACTGTGGGCATTACATGTACGCTTTGTATTAAGTTGGCAGTGCATCATTTGAATCAATTATCATTTTTGTCTCGAGTTGATCATTAAACGTTTGCGCCCGCATGTTATTGGTGAGTAAATATTCCCTGCCACACACGTAGCTAATTCTCGAACTTTATCATGTACCAGTAGTGCCCTCGTTTGCGATCTCCCTCATGCCGCCGAAATCCACCCAAGGCAAGAAACCACGACAAAAAAGCCTCAAAACTCCAGGGTATGAATTTCTTACAGTGTTACAATGGTACTAATCCGATCAATCAGCAAATTCGCAAACCAGCGAGAAGAAGCAACGAGAATCCCTGCCTGAACGCTGATGACAGTCAAGTGGGACGCGCAGTAGAGCAAACAGAGCTCCCAGAGTCAGGGTGTAGCAGAACGTTATCGGTCATGCACGAAGAAGAAATAGTGGATTATGGGTCGGATGACTTCGACGATACAGGATCGCAATACGAGCAGCCCAATCTGAACCACCATCAGCCCCCACACGATGATCGTCTCGAGGACGGGCCCCCCCCCCCTCCATTCCTGCAGCGCGAGCCTCAGATGAACCATGCCCCGCCCTTCCAACATCAGATGAACTATACCCGCCCTTCCAGCCTCACATGCATCACCCAAATGAACACAGGCCTGGGTTCTTTCCGACCTCCATTCGCGCCTCAATCACCGCTTCCCTCAATGAACCAGCCTCATATGCTGCCTCCACATGCACATCAAATGGACCACAATCCGTTTCAGCAGCACGGGCCTCAGTTGAACTGGACGCCATCCCAACAGCACACCATGACCGCGGAGGAACTCTTTCTGAGTTGCTCCGTCAATCAACCGCTTCCTCCCCCTGTGCGTGGTGCAGACCGCCTTAGCAGACACCTTCGGGACCCGGAAGCACGGCCTGCGCGTTCATCGCCGTATGCCCTCCCAGGGCTACGCAAGGTGATGGTATTTGGCCCTCGTCGTCAGGACGAGCGGTACCGAGGCGAGTGGCAGAATACTGGTGTAGTTCATGTATGTTTCAATTCCTCTATACCTCGTCACTCGCTAACTCTTTGTCTAGACTGGTAACAGCAAAGAAGTTGCGCAGAAACGCCCCACCGCGAAAGATTTGCCGCCGCCCCCTACCTCCCCTTAATGTGTCTGTTGCCAGTGCGCAACAAGGCACTCCACCACAACCCCTCCATTCTCATGACAACGGCAGTGCGGGATCTCGTCTCGAGCTCCCTCAGCAGGAGGTGCAACTCCCTCCTCAGCCTGTGCCTGCCGAGCGGGTGGAGGAGGTGTGCGCCACTGAGGTCGAGGATGCGACGGCAGGTCCTTTCAGTGAACGGGATGCCGTCGAATGACGAGAACATTGCCATGGCACGTACTGCGTTAGCAGACGCAATCGGCACACTCCCAACATGCCTGCAGGCCAGCACTATCTCCCAGACGCGATACATTTGTCATGTCACTCACAAAAATCACTGGGACTGTCCGAACCGTGGTGAAGTCGCTGCGCGCCATCATCCAACACAAGTACAATCTCGAACGGCATATGGGACGCGTCGTCAGAGGTTGCGCACAAACTGCGGGTCGTGCCTGCCCTCACGACACACCTGCAGTTCTGTTCACAACTGTGAAGATGGTGTGTCAATTCGTACTTGTAGGGGGCATTACTAACTAGTGTTTAGGTACTTGACGGTACTCTACAATCGGTCGCTGTTCTCGAACATGACGGACTCGTTAGCCTCGTTATCGAGATCTTGTGGACACGGGTTCTACAAAGATCTTGATTTCAATGATCCAACTGCGCTAGATGGTGTCATTGCTCTGGCTGGCGCCGCACTGTGCTCAGCGCTTATGGAGTACAAGACAGGAGTATACAAGCGCGTTGAATTTTCAACAGCGAAATCAAAGGATACTTACCAGAATGTTACTGCCTATATTTCAGATAAGATTTATCCCCGTGTTGAACTCACAGCACGTTTCAAGGCATTGAAAGACAAAATGAAGGAACGAGGAGAGGTCAGATTGGGTTTGTAGAGCTTACGGCCAGTGGTACTGTTTCAACAATAATTCATACATCGTGTGGTATTACTATCTCGCATCGTGATAACAATGATCAATGATAATCGTGATGATTGTGTTAATCTATAATCAATCTCAGTCTCTGGCATCTTAACGACGTTTACCTCACTGTTGCAAGATCTCAACCAATCGGAAAGCTGCATCACTGAGTCGTAAGCATTCGTAACACATCAAACTTCTTACACTACTAAGCGAGAACTGGGGTGTTTTACAGATGTAGTCTAGTTCGAAGAAACCGAGAAAGATCCGAATGATAACAGGTTACCATAAACTCTCTAGGCTAACGCCACTGGCAGTTACCGGGGATCAGGGAAAACTCCGGATTTTACCAAGCGCTATAATCAAGTTCCAACCGTTACAATCAACTATGAGCACTTACCGTGGGTCAACCTATGTTAGAACACGGTGGCAATGTGCACTGACTGCAACACGTGTAATGGTTGCACAGATAGGTAGAGAAACCTAACTTAGGCTTAGGTGAGCCAAGATCTCCTTTATAAGGCGAACTAACCGTTTATTTGGGCTCGACTGTAATCCCTCATGCTCTTCACTTATATTCTCGCATTAGGGATATCGTGCATTGTTGCCCTGGTTGTCGCTTCGGGTCTGCTTCGCAGACGTGTCTACCCTTTACCTCTGCCGCCTGGCCCTCGTCCCTTACCAATTTTGGGTAACGCGTTGCAACTGGATACTAAACGACCTTGGCTCACATATACTGCGTGGGGAAAGACATATGGTTGGTAGCAAACCAATGGCCTCTTTGCCAAGCTCTTAGATTCAAATTCATACCTGATCGTAGGGAAAATCTTCACTCCCGCGTACTTGGGATCGACTTTATCATCATAAACTCCGAAACCATCGCACGGGAGTTGCTGGACAAGCGTTCTGCGAATTATTCTTCTCGCCCCGTTATTCCCACCACAAATTGTATGCATTGCTAGTTTTCATTCATTTTGTTCCTCATCGACTGATGATTCAGATCTGGACTGGATTTTGGTACTTTGTTCCTTCCATATGGCGAGACTTTACGGCGACATCGCAAGATCTACCATCAAGTCCTCAGGGCCGAAGTCTCGGTCTCGTACCACGAAATGTACTCTCGCCATGCAAATGAGCTAGTCATCAATCTCTTAGGTACCACTAGTGACCCATGGCAACAGACTGAAGCGTTCGTACCTAATTCAGTGATGTCGTTGTGATATATGGTCCAGTTGACAAAATCCTTGTGACAGATACACGGCATCCCTAATCATGACCGTGACATACGGATACCTTGCTCATGGACATGAAGACCTATTTAACCCGCGCACGCGAACTCCTTCATATTGGCGAACAAATTGGTTCTCCAGAGGGGGCTGCCATGTTCACAGCCTTTCCTTTCCGTGAGTGCCTCTGTCGACGACATAATTTTCAACATTCAGCATCAGGTTGCAGTCGAAAAGTTGCCGTTTTGGTGCTTTGGTGGAGGATTTGCCTGATGGGACGCAGTACAGAATTAGTTCAACAGCTTTGAACGAGCCCTTTGACGAAGTAAAGGCACAGATAGTACGTTCGCGCAGAATTGTGGATGGAAATTGAAATTTCGCCTGATCTGTTCGTGTGAAGGCAGATGGTACTGCTTCACACTCATTAGTCGCTGACTTTCTCAGTCAAGCTCATGACGACGCTGACGAAGAAACGATGAAGGCTGTTGCGTTGATGGCATACATTGGTAAGGGTTTTTTTGCCAGGACAGAATTCATTCATTGACGCGAATACGGCATCTTAGCTGGCATTGACACCGTAAGTCGCTCCTTAAGTAGTCCTGATTCTTACTTTGATGTCCCGCAGACTACAGCCACATTGCGGATATTCCTGCTAGCTATGGTGCTCTATCCTGACGTCCAGGCCCGTGCTCGTGCAGAAATTGATCAAGTTGTAGGGCATGATAAAATGCCGTGCCTTGATGATAGGGCGTCACTACCCTACCTTGACGCCGTTCTCCTCGAGGCCCTGAGATGGTATCCTATCGGACCCCTAGGTTGGTCGGTAGCGACATAGCTTTGTGTTTGCATGGCTGACCCCTGCACAGGAGTTCCACATGCGACATTAAATGATGATGTTTACGACGGGTACTTTATACCCAAAGGTTCGAAGTCGTATGAGTCGAGGTTGCCGTTGACTCATCTGTAGTTCGATCAGGTGCGATGGTAATGGTTAATCAGTGGTATGTCACAGTGGCGTCCATGATATAACGGCGGCTTGAGCTAAGCATGGCTCAGGGCACTATCTCGGGATGAAGACATATATCCCGATGCATCACGCTTCGATCCTAGTCGCCATCTAACAATTGACGGAAAGCTGAAGGACCATTTCGTCAGTCATCTTGCCTTTGGTCATGGCAGGTGAATATTCCAAACTTGTCATCCATCTTCAATTATTCACCGACCCTTACAGGCGTATCTGTCCCGGTAGGCTCATTCATGGCTCATCTGACAGTTTTGAGGATGACGAATACCCTTGGCAGGTCGTTGGTTTGCAGAGAACAGTCTATGGACTGCAGTTTCTGCCATACTCGCTGTCTTGCACATCGATCATGCCAAAGACTCGAACGGAGACAAGATTGAGGTAAAGCCGCAGTTCGGCACCGGCTTGGTGGTGTAAGTGACCTAGCATGTATTCGAGCACGTCCGGCTGACTCTGCCTAAGTCACCCTGAACCATTTCACTGCTCGTTTGTTGGCGTGAACACAGCGAGAGAAGGACATCTTCGAGAGATGATGAAATCGAAGTAGCCTCCGTTTGTACTTGTGATGGTCTGTCATTTAATTGCACATAATTGTACAATGGCAGTGTGCACTGGATGGCACGGTTCCACGGCCTCTGTCTCTGATGAAAAAGAGAATTGCTTTCGAACCCATTGAATCTTCAGAAACCAGATCCATTTCTAAAATCTCGCGACCGGCGCAACCAGGCGCGCACATCGTTGATCGGTCGATGGGCTCTTCCCCGCTGCAACGTTGGTCTACCTGAATATCAGTTGACAGCAACCCATACACTCGCACTACGGTTTACATAGGTTGAGTCATTCAAGGACCTTGGGTTACGCAATCGAAGCGCAGATTATTACAGTTCACTTTGGAGCGTTATAATCACATGCACTGACGGAGCAGGCCACATCCTAACATTGAACCCTGGGGCTGAAGCTTGGAAGTGTCCATTGACGGCTTAGGCAGCATCGTACGTACTAGCTATGCTTACAGGAGAGGAATGGATTGTTCCAAGGTGTGCTCCTGGCAGAGTACTCGACAAGTCTTAATTGCTTGGATCATTTCTAGTGCTACACACGGCCGCCCTCCTGGAAAACCATTGAGGGCATGTCGATTCCTGCATCGGAGTCGGTGACCAGCTTAGCGTTAAAGTCCCGCACGCTAAGGATGAGGCGTGGTCCAAGCACAAACATTTGTGTGATTGACACTAATTCCAGCATTCCAGCATAGACATAAGATCCCACCGAAGATGAATACTGTAGATACGATAAATATGCAGCTGTCACTGAGTCAAAGATCAGCGTACCATGAGCTCCTCTGGTAATCGTCTGATGAGTCTCGCGCATTCATGTCTTTCAACCATTATTCAAACTTACGGCCTACAGTATACTTGCTTCCTATTGCGGCGATCACTCCACAGGCGCCTGTGACAACCAGGAAGATTACAATGAGAAGACAAGTATCTTCCTAGATTGCTGGTACATCACATGCAACCGAGTGATAATGATGACTTGCATGATGTTTCGGTCAGTTCAATATCATTGAGACACTTCAGTTTGGTTAACTCACTGCTCAGCATGGCACTTACGACCACGGTCGTCCAAGTTAGTGTGTGGTGTACAGTATATTGCCCGCAAAACCCCAGGTAATGATGAGCCTCGGAGGACCAAACATTCAAAACAAACTCACAGCTATTGCGGTCATTATATTGAACCAAGTCGGCAACCTCACTCACCCCTACATAGGAACGTAGCTGTTGGACAGGAACATATGCATCGATGCAGACCACTCACTTTATCCGTCGCGGAGACTGTCGGCAGACTTTCTGTACCCAGCCAGTCAGAAGTAATGAACACAGCGTATGTGAGGCATACCCAGCATGTAAATGCTGATCGTGAGAGAAGGCTCATTAGTACTGCATCATTTGGTAGCCTTGCAAACATACACAGTGTATGACATTCCAAGGTAGCGTACCTAAAATATTTTGAAGTTAGCACGACTTGCAGATGGCGCTCATCACATAATGCACATACACCGAGATAGAGAATTGTCACGAGGGACCAGCGTTGCTTCTGCTCCGAGTGAATTGCATTACTATGTCGATCTTCTAATACGGGACTCTTCTCACCCAGATCAGTTCATACTAGTATAAAACCACCATCAGTAAGAGGTTCCAGCAATGGTATCAACATACCTCTTTTCCCAAACTGAGTGCTAGAAATATCATAAGGATACCAGCAGTTATTGGATACCGTCTTGCTCACCCCAATCGTATATCACCACGGTACAGGTGGCAACTGCGAAACCTTATTGAAGGTTAGAATGGAACCAGCATCATGCCTAACCCTACACGAACCTAAGAAATAGCTGCAGAGGCTATATGATTCAATTACCGGCCACCAAGTTGGATCGTTTGAGACTATGGTCATATTCGGAGGATAGGTGAAAGGTGAACCTGCCGTAAGTAGTTGTGCATGTCAAATACGTCACCATCCAGTGCGTTCATCGCCTCACGCTTCCCGCATCGGCGATAGGAGTGCATATGTATATATTATTTGAACACCATTGAGGTTCGTAAAGCTGTTCGCAATTTGAGGTATTTGACTTTCATTGCTATCTATATTACCACACTTGCATCGGTTCAGGAGGTCTATGTATAAATAAAATCCTGGCTCACATCAGTATAATATTAGGCGCTATGTCATGATGGATGCCTGTCATCTCAATGATTCTCAACGAGTATCGGCTCGGGCCTGATGAACGCAAGAGCTCTCTGGAGCTCGAGGTCTTCGTAAAAGGCCACGTGTTGTCGGCCTGATGCAGAAAATCAGTATTGAAAGATACAAAAGGTCCAAACATACCAAACAAATAACTCATCTCACCTACCAGCCTCTGTAACCCCACCAAGCACACGTCTTGATGCCCAATCCTGATCCTAAAGTTCCCAGTACCGTGGCCACCCTCT